TGTTATATTGTAGGGCTGTGATGCGTCTGTCCTTATAGCAACAAAGCCTGGAAGTAAGACATTAGCTGAGAAGGATGCAGATGACAACAAGGACCTGAGAACTGAAGGTTTTGATACTATAATGAGAGCCAAGACTTTGGTGGAGAGCAAGTGCCCTGGTGTTGTCTCTTGTGCTGATATTCTTGCAATTGCAGCCAGAGATTTTGTCCATTTGGTTAGTGCTTCCGTTTTCTACTTCTTCTCTTTTACTTTCATTGGTATCGATTTGCTTCTCATGCATTTGATACTATTTCTGATTACAATCATCAGTTAAAGAATGCAGATATTTAGGTTTCACTTTGGTCCTTCAGTCAATTATTGTACGCATATTTTCCAAATTGGGATGATGCTTCCAGAGTAGAAGGGATAGGAAAAAAAATATTTGTTACTTATTTTCTGCAGTACAGCTGTACTGAACAGTTTACACTCTGCTCTAGCTGGACATGAAAAATATTCATATTTTCATGTGCCTAATTTGTCTACAATGAAAGATGTGTCATTAACAGCCAAGACTCTGCTTTTAAATTGTCCTTCCTGATCTTGACTTTCGATCTTTGTGTCTCCAAGATTACTGAATTTAAATCATTATCAATGTTAAGATAATTGAGTCGTTTGGTTTTATTCATCTTAAAATATTGTAATTTTTTAAAACGGAACAGGGAATTCTAGTAAATTTAATGGGCATTACATTTACTCTGATTTCCAAAATCAATGTATTTCCAGGCAGGGGGGCCTTATTACCAAGTGAAGAAAGGAAGGTGGGATGGGAAAATATCAATGGCATCCAGGGTCACCTACAACCTCCCGCGTGCAAATTCAACCGTCGATAGACTGATCGAACTCTTCAGCTCAAAGGGGTTAACCGTCCAGGACCTGGTTGTGCTCTCAGGTGCGCACACTATAGGCTTTGCCCACTGCAAGCACTTTGTGGGCCGACTCTACGACTATAAAGGGACCAAGCAACCTGATCCTTCCATTGATCCAAGGCTCCTAAAGGCCCTTAAAATGTCATGCCCACAAGTTGGTGGCAATGCTGACATTGTTGCTCCATTTGACGTCACCACCCCGTTCTTGTTTGACCATGCTTATTATGCAAATTTGGAGGCCAAATTGGGCTTGTTGGCTTCAGATCAAGGTTTGTTTTTGGACCCAAAGACCAAGCCTCTGGTCCAAGCTCTTGGTCAGGATAAGGCAAAGTTCTTCCAGGCCTTCGCAGAAGCCATGGACAAAATGGGCTTAATTGGTGTCAAAAGGGGAAGAAGACATGGAGAGAAAAGGATAGATTGTAGCATGCACATGTGAAGCCTGTCGCTCCCCTCTTTTATGGTTTTTCCCTTTTAGATTTCTTCTTTTATTGGGTTCTAGGCTTCTTCTTTTTTTTATTTTATTTACTGGTTTCTTAGGTTGGTTTTGGCTTTGATCGTGTGGGATTTGTTATAGATGAGGCTTTTGTGAATGTTTTGAGAGTTTATTTAATCCCGAAAGAATATGGGAGACTTACTATTTACCATTATTGTCCCAAGTTAATATAACTTCCCATTACCTATCAACAATTTTCATTTTTTAAATTTTAACAGCCAAGTTAAGGGAATTTTGTAGATTTACCATTAAACTATAATTGCCTAGTGTTTCTTTTCTTTTTATAGTTTGACAATTTATTTATTTATGTCATTTATATTTCGTGTTAAATATATATAATATGAAAATTATCATATTATAATTTATCATAATATATTAAATATGAAATATATTTTTATTTTTATAAAATTTATATATAATTTTTTATTAAAATTTTAAATCATGTTATTTTTTATATTTTCACGTCTATCTTTTTATTTTACACAATTATTCTATTTATGTGAACTCCCATCAAAGTATAAAACATTTGGACATAAAAATATCAATGAATAAAATATGAGAAGAGTAGAGTATTCATCATTCTCATCTATGAATATTTATATTATATTCATTCATATATCTATACCCAATTGGTATTTCAAATCTATCCCTATCTCTATTCCTATCATCGGATCATTAATCACATACCTATAACTTTTAAGAAAATAAATAAAAATAAAAATTTATTTTTTAGTTTTTTTTTATTTATTTCTTTTGTATAATTTGTAATTTTATTACCTAAAAACAATTATTCACTGCTACTAATATACAACTCGCTACCATACACAACTCATATAATTTCATTTGCTACTCTGGCTTCTATACAAATATATTCTTTCTTAAACCCCATTTCTCACATAAATCTTTATTTACACTATCAAAAGCAATATTTTTCAGCCCCATCAATCTCAATTGTATCACTTCTTTTATCATTCTAAGGATCTGTTATTCATTACTTTCCACAGCAGCAAACTGCCTCTTCTTCCTTTCATTCCAAATCAGATAAAATGTATACAACCCATGCCAATCTCAATATGATAGATCACCCTGCTTACAGCCCAATGGAATTCCTCTTCCCAACCAAATACCTCTCTATGTAAGTTGCAGAGTTGTAAAACCTGTTTCCACACAACTTTAGAGTAATTACAACTAAAGAAGATATGGCTCCTAGACTCATTCTCTTGTTTACATAGCACACACCCTGCTTCATTTGTAATCCCCATGCGTTCAATCTATCTTTAGTAAGGAGTCTATTTAATATCGCCATCCAAGCTATGATTGCATGTTTGGGTACATGCATCTTGCACCATATTAGCCTGTGCCACACTACCTTCATTTGTTTCGGTCTTAATTCTTTCTGTATAATTGTAACTGAGTTCTCAGTACCTTTCCCATTCCATCCTATGCCTTCCTCTGTTTGCAATCAAGTGGCATGTCTCCTTATTTGTAATAGTTTTTTCATGCTCCAACTGCTACTTTGTGTAATAGGTACCTCCCGTATATTGCGCCCTTTAAACACATAACTATGCACCCATGCAATCCACAATGAACTTGCTTGTGAGAAAATAGACCATAGATTTCTAATCATACAAGCCTGATTCTAAATGACCAAGTCTTTTAACCCGAGTCCTCCGTCGGATTTAGTCCTACATAGAGTTTGCCATTTAACCCTTGCCCCTTTAGCTGATTCATTCTCCCATTTTCAGAAGTACCTTGAACATAGCTGTATAACCTTTTAGATCACCCTTTTTGGCAACATAAAATGTTTGCACCAGTAGCTTTGAATACTAAATATGATCGATTGTATCAGCTGCAATCTACCTGCATATGATAATTTTTTTGCTACCCAACTACGTATTCTGGCTGTTGTCTTCTCTATTAGTGGAGTACAATCCTTTATGGAGATCCTACGTGTAACTAATGGAACCCCAAGGTATCTTACAAGAAGTGTGCCTAGTTTGAATCCTGTCACCTGCATTATCTCTTGTAATGCACTTCTTGGAACACCTATAGAAAATAGTTCACTCTTCTCGCAATTAAGCTGAAGTCCCGAATATGAATAAAATAATTGTAGTACCTGTTGTATCCCAGAGATGGACTCCAACTTCCCTTTTGTGAAGATTAGCAGATCATCGGCAAAGGACAAGTGTGTTAATCTTATTTTCTTGCATTTTGAATGATAAGAAATAACGTCATAATGTGTTGCTGCATCCAAGAGCCTCGATAAGACATTCATTGCTATAACAAATAGATAAGGCGACAAAGGGTCACCTTGCCTGACGTCTCTTGCACCTCAAAAGTAGCTACCAGCCCCCCATTGATGGATAAAAAAATCTTGGAGTAGTTAAACAACTCTTAATCCATCCTACAAATCTCTTTGGAAACCCCATAGCTAACAGAACATTTATTAGAAATTCCCAATTTAAGGAATCAAATGCCTTCTTCAAGTATATTTTTATCGCACATCGAGGAGAAAGTGTTGCTTTACTATTTCCCCTTACCAGTTCTTGGGCCATAAGCACGTTGTCTATTATGCTTCTTCTTTTAATAAAGGCGCTTTGATTTTTAGTGATAAGGTGTGGCAAATACTGTTGCAGCCTGCTTGCCAAGATTCTAGCAATGCATTTATAAAAATGATCGAGCAACAAGAAATGGGCCTATACTCTGATATACTTCTTGGACTTTGAGTTTTTGGTACCAAAACAATGATAGTGGAGTTAAAAGCAGGTAGTAAGTCATCAGTTTGGAAAAAATACAGGATAGCATCAGTGACATCATCCCCCACAATACTCCATGCAGTTTTGAAAAAGCATGCATTGTACCCATCAGGGCCTGGTGCCTTATCACTATGCTGTGAAAAGATACCTTGTTGAATTTCTTAGTTACATATTGAGATAACTTTACTTGATTTTCTTTTGACAGAGTGACTTGTAGGATATTTGCAAGCAATTCTTTAAAGCAACCTGTTACATTATCATCAATAGTACCTAATAAATGCTTGAAGAAATCAATAGCCTCCTTAGATATCTATGAAAATGTTTCCAGTCTATTCCCTTCCCTATCATATAACACGCTTATCGTGCCTTTCTTTTGCTTAACAATCACCATTTTATGAAAAAACCTTGCGTTTTGGTCTCCCTCTTGAATCCATCTAATTCTTGATTTTTGTCTTAACATGCTTTCCTCCGCCTGTAATAGTCCCAGCAATTCTAACTGAAGCTCTTTTTCTTTTGCCGTATCCATGTTGAAATCTTGGTTCAGTCTAGCACTTTGCACTTCTGCCAGTTCTGCCCTTTTTACTTTAACTTTCTCAACTAAGTCCCCAAAATGAGAGAAGTTAAACTTTCTCAATACCATCTTCAACCTCTTGAACTCTAAAGTCTTCATGCTTGGCTCCCATTTACGAGTAATAATATGCTTATTTTGAATATGCCATGGCCCTGACTTCAATACCCTAACCCTATCTTTCTCTGAAAAAAATTGAAGCACAAACAAATTAATTCCAGTCGACTTGATAATGACAGTTCCCTCCTTTCCCCATAACATACTTACCAATCTTTGAAATTGACTGTAATTAGGAATCTTACCTATGAACTGAGCCACTAACGAGTTCTTCTATTGATGAACCCCCTCTTCAAACACCTCATCAGTCGGTTTGATCAGAATCTTTCCATTCTCCTTTTCTAGAAGAAAATATTGCAATGTCTGATCCGTCGGAGTAGAGAACAGATTCTTCCAATTAGTCACACTCTTACTTGAATCACTTACAATCTTCTCCGCATTCTGTCACGCCTCAAAACGAGGCATAACACGGTCATATTACTTTGAAGTAAAATCCCACAACAATACGAAGCCTAATCCATAACCATTGAACAACTCTCAAATATAAAAGGTTCTCATTAAGTAACATAGCTAGATAACAAGTCTCCAAAGGTTCAAAGTCGAGTATTACAACTAAAATAAACGATACTTCATAAAATCCTATATTTCTAAGTAGTTCTCCAATGTTCGATTCTTCTAACTTTTTTTCAAGCTAATCATACTTATCATTCATAACATCTGTAAAAGAAAAGAAAATAGGGAACAAGCAAACCACAGCTCAATAAGTAAAGGCTCACACACCTTACCGGATCAAACATCGTTTCATACATGTCATATAGATCATTCAAAATATTCATCAAATCATAATAACAAAACATCTCAATATCATCGTTCTGTCAAACATTTCGTAAATTCATAAATCATTGTAAAATATGTTATCATTCAAATATCGTAGTCAAACCAAATCATGGATCAATCATTAAAAATCATCGTAAATCATCATCATCATTCAAATCGTTAGCTACGGTCACTGCTATAACCCGTGACATTGGTCGTATCGACAATTTCATTCTCATGATCATTGCTAACTATTATAACCTATTAGCCAGGGCTTACGCTAACTACTATTACCCGTTAGCCAGGGTCGTATGATCATATCTTTGCTAACTACTATTACCCGTTAGCCAGGGTCGTAGAACTAGTTCTGGTGTCGATGATCCCATTTTTTAGGGATGTAAAAACGTAGCCATCACAAAATCATTCTTTAATCATAAATCATTTTTTCATTTCATTCATAAGCATAATCCATCATTAGTATAGAGAAACACAAAATAATCATATGCTTGATCATATTTTCATACATCGAAAATAAAAAAATAAAATATTCATTCATTTATAAATATATATATATATATACATAGATTCGAAAATAAGCAAAATGTGTGAGATTCTACTTATCTCCTTCTGATTCCACCACTTAATTTTTCTCCCTCAAAATTTAGTGGCCTATTCAAGATAATTCCAACATAACAATAATTAATCAACCCATTTGAGGTCACTTATACCAAAACAATTAAGTTAAACAAGTAATAACTCGAGTAATTAATTCTGACAGTCTGCGCTACTTTCACTAAAACGACCATAACTCAAGATATCCAATTCGGAATTAAAATCTTATTAATGCATTAGAAACTAGACTTGATAAGCTTTCTAACCATATATGGCTCATCTCGTGATTCTTTGTGGATTAATTATAACAATTTTTGTAATCCACGTCATATGCTGCTGCCAGACAGCCTGTATACCTTTTCATAAAAATTATGTATTTATTCATAGGTAACTCCAAATTCAATTTCGCTTATTTCATTGGAAAGTATACTCGATAAGCTTTCCAAACATATATAGCTTAAACTGTAAATCCTTGTCTAAAAATTTAGGGAAATTTCGTAATTCCCCCTTACTGCTGCTACTAGGCAGCCTGCACCTCCTTAGGTAAAAATTGGATAACTCTTCATAGAGAACTCGAATTCGACTCCCGTTTATTTCATTAGAAAGTAGATTCAACATGCTTTCCAACCATATATAGTAATCATAGTAGTATTTAACCCTTTAATACAGAATATAACCTTAATTCATCACTACAAACACATGATTCATATTAGGATTTATACGAAACAAAGATTTTTCTTTCTATTCCCATCAAATTTCTGTTTCAATAATAAATTCACATTACCAACTTTCTCAACACTTAACTTGACTCCAATTAAAGTCTAAATCCTCTGCCCAAAGAGGGATAATGAAAACTCTAAAATTTTAGGGTTTCTCGATTATAATTTACACCTTAAGACTTAACCATCAATACTCCAAAAATTAAAAAAGATTATTTACTCACCTCTAACAGATAATTTTTCCTTGTAGATTTGTTCTTCCCTTCACTTGGAATCCTTCAATTGATCTTTTCTGTATAAGAAACATATGAGAAATAAGTTTATGTTTTTATTACGACTAATCGTCGACTGAAAACTGAAAAGTTAACTTTATTAATAAAAAAAATTGGGTTATTTATCAATAAGTCCTCTGCACTTCTCATTCTTTATTAAAGAGTCTCTCCACTTATAAAAATACTTAAAATAGTCCTTTTTTTTTCGGGTATTACAATCTCTTCAACTTATAAAAAGTTTCGTCCTCGAAACTTGATTTACCTTCATTTTCGAATAACTGAGGATATTGTTTCTTCATATCATCTTTCATTTCCCAAGTTGCTTCTCTTGGTGTATGATTGCTCCATTAGACTTTTATAAAGGGAATAGTTCTATGCCTTAAGACTTGCTCTTTTCGATCAATTATTCGAATAGGATATTCCAAGTATGTTAAATCTTCTTGAACTTCTAAAGGTTCATACTCTATCACGTGGCTTGGGTTAGAGACATACTTTCTCAACATGGACACATGAAAAACATTGTGCACACCAGATAACTGAGGTGGCAAGGCTATCCTATATGCAACTTCCCCACCTTATCAAGAATTTCAAATGGATCTATATAACGTGAGCTTAGCTTTCCTCGCTTCCCAAACCACATAACACCTTTTGTGGGTGACACCTTTAAAAAAATAAAATCCCCTTGTTGAAATTCTAACTCGCTTCTCTTTTTATCTGCCCAACTCTTCTGACTATCTTGTGCTACTTTAAATCTCTCCTTAATCACATTGATCTTTTCTACAGTCAGTTGCACCATTTCTGGCCCTAGGAGTTTTCTTTCCCCAACATTATCCCAATATAAAGGGGATCTACACTTTCTACCATACAAGGCTTCAAAAGGAGCCATCCCAATACTAGATTGGTAACTATTATTATAAGCGAACTCCGCTAAAGGTAAGTAATCATCCCAACTACCTTTCAGATCAATCACACATGCTCGAAGCATATCTTCTAAAATCTGATTTGTTCTCTCTGTTTGCCCATCTGTCTGAGGGTGAAAGGCTGTACTCAATTTCAAATTTATCTCAATAGCTCGCTATAAGCTTACCCAAAACTTAAAAACAAATCTAGAATCTCTATTTGACACAATACTCACTGGAACTCCATGCAATCGGATAATTTCACCCGTGTACAATTGTGCTAGTTTATCAAATTGAGTAATCGACTTGATAGGTAAAAAATGAGCTAATTTAGTGAGTCTATTAACAATTACCCACACTGCATTATTCCCTTTAGATGACCTAGGCAACCCCATCACAAAATCCATAAATATGTGCTCTCACTTCCATTCTGGTATCTCCAAAGGTTGTAACAACCCTTATGGTCTTTGGTGTTCAGCCTTAACTTGCTGACACACTAGACATTGGGACACAAACTGAGCTATGTCACGTTTCATATTATTCCACCAAAAACTTCCTTTTAAATCTTTATACATCTTAGTGCCTTCAGGATGTATAGTGAATCGAGACCCATATGCTTCCTCAAAAATCTCTCGTTTTAGATCAAGATCATTTGGTACACACAATCTATTTCTAAAACGTAATGTGCCATCCTCGTGAAGATTAAACTCAGACCGCAAACCATTCTGTACTTCTATCTTAATTCTGTCTAACTCACTATTTTCTTTTTGTGCAAATTTTATCTTTTCGATCAAAGTTGGTTGAACCATCAAACTAAACATAACAACACCTTTTCCCTGTATAATCACCTCGATTTGCTACGTATCAAGTTCCTCCAATAATTTTAGTTGCAAAGTAAACAAAGCAGCCATACTTCCAATGGACTTTTTACTAAGAGCATCAGCAACTACATTAGCTTTGCCCGGATGATAATTGATGGTCAAATCATAATCTTTGATTAATTCCAACCATCTTCTCTGTCTCATGTTCAATTCTTTCTGTGTAAACAAATACTTTAAACTCTTATGATCCGTATAAATTGCACAAGGCTCCCCATACAAATAATGTCTCCATATTTTCAAAGCAAACACAATGGCAGCTAACTCTAAGTCATGAGTCGGATAATTCTGCTTGTAGGTTTTTAATTGCCTAGAAGCATAAGCAATTACCCTTTCATTCTGCATTAACACACAACCCAGAGGGAGTCCTAAATCCCACATCGAACATAATAGGAGGATCACTGGGGTATAAAAAGTTTCACACCATCTCTTCCTTATGAGGCGCCTTTTGTAGGATAAAATCGTGAGGTCAAGGGGGCCAGAGCGGACAATACCTCACAAGGGTGTGAACCGTGGCAGAAAAGCTGATCTGGGACGTCGGAAGGGTGAATGCCCGGGTCCCGGAGTCGCGCGGGTTCGGAGCTTAAGTCTCGACCCGTGACAAGTGGTATCAGAGCCAACCCTAAACCGTTCGATCCACGTCAAGCACCTCGAAAGAGGTAGACAGGGTGGCCAGCCTCCATGACGAGGGCGTCACGAGGTTGAGTGCGGAAAAATATCACAGACCTAAGGGAGAGTCCTAAATCCCACATCGAACATAATAGAAGGGTCACTGGGATATAAAAAGTTTCACACCATCTCTTCCTTGTGAAGCACCTTTTGTAGGATAAAACCATGAGGTCAAGTGGGGCAGAACGGATAATACTTCACAAGGATGTGAACCGTGATAAAAAGGCTAATCTAAGACGTCGGAAGGATGAATATCCGAGTCCCGAAACCGCGTGGATTCGAAACTTAAGTCTCGACCCGTGACACATTCAACCCAACATCTATGCAATCCTCATTGATAATCTCAGTGTTACATTGACTCTTACCAAAATTTTCAAAGTAAAAGGATTAGGAAACAAGGGATGGTTTCTTTGACATCGCTGATCGCTACTTTCTCAAAACGCCAATTTAAATTCAATGAAGAACCAACTCACCAAATTTATTCCGGAATCAAAAAAATCACTACTAAAATAGAAGAAATTAGATGAAATAGCTCGTAATGATGAAGTTTACACTAGAATCAATGGCTTAAGTGAGGAAAACCTCCACTGAAGAAAGTCCTGCTATCGTGAGCCAAGAGCTTTTTCCTCGTAAAAATGTTTTTTCATACCATGAAACTAAAAAATATCTATTTTTTTAAGTAAAAATGTTTGTTTTTAATTTGTATATTTAAGTAATTTTTTATAAATATCTATTAATATATATTAATAAAAATATATTTACTTTAATTAATATGAAATAATAATTTATACTATTTAATAAAAAATTTATTTATTAATTATATATAAATATATATAGGATACAAATATTGAATTACGTATTAAATTATCCATCCCTATAAATATAATCAATAAAATTTTAATATCATATTTATTTTTATTTTTATTTTTATTATATACTCATAATATAATATCCATAAATCATTATTCATATAAAAATTTAAATTTTTTATTAAATATGAATAAAATTCACATATGTTCGATCATGAAGTAGAAAAAGAAAAAAGTGTCTTCAAATTTTGAGTACAAAAAGCTTCCTTTTAAGCGAACTAAGAAAAAGGGCCGCAAAACCCATGCACTCCTTTTCCATCTCCCCCTGCTATGCCTGCGTAATACGCACCAAAAATAAGCACAAGACTCTTTCACCATTGAACAAACACCGAAACCTACAAATCAGGGCGATGAGAGCCGTGGTCCAAAGAGTTGGCTCTGCCAGCGTCGAGGTCAGTCTAAAACCTGTTTCTCTTAAACTATACTTAAATCTCCTTATGGCTAAGCCTCATCAACTTAGCAATTTTCCCAGGTCGATGGTCGCATTGTGTCGGAAATCGGACCGGGTCTCCTCGTTCTCGTTGGACTCCACGATTCCGACACCGAATCTGACGCCGATTACATGTAATAAAACATTTCCATGCATTCTAACTTATTCAATTCATTATATTTTTTATTTTTTTTTTACTGCTTTTATAGTTGTCGAAAGGTTTTGAACATGAGATTGTTCCCAAATGAGAGTACTGGCAAAGGATGGGACCAAAATGTAATTTTCCCCTTTTCCTTTCCTTTACTTTCCAAATTTCTGTTCAGTGGGTTGAGGTTTTACACTAAGATTAAAGTCGTGGCTTCAATTTTGGGATAATTTTCAGGTCATGCAACGCAATTATGGTGTTCTACTAGGTAATCTTGAGGTTTAGGGTTTGCCTCTTTTTTCCTTTTTTTTCACTGTTTCTTTTCCCTTCAATAAAAAATAATTATATTCGAAAGTTGTTTGTCCTTGCAGTAAGTCAATTTACATTGTATGGATTCTTGAAGGGTAACAAGCCAGACTTCCATTTGGCAATGCCACCACAAAAAGCAAAGCCGTTCTATGAAGGTTTAGTTGACAAATTCAGAAAAGCTTATAAACCAGACGCAATTAAAGGTTATTTTCATTTACCATCCATTCTTTCCTTCATTGTTTTATTGGTAAATTTTTTTTTTCATTTACTGTCTTTGAATCTAAAACATGCAGAAAGGAGATATACAAGGTATACTTTGATAGATAAGACCATTATTCTATGTTGATAGATAGATCTGTATGATAGGCAGTAACAGCATAGGATATAGAAGCTCATACTCAAAGACACAAAGTAACAAATATTTTCAAAAACCTATGATAGTTTAGAACCATGTCAGAATCAAATCTGTCATGTTATTTATGTCATTTAGACAAAATATATGCAATTCAATAGTTGTTTTGCAAACATTCAATCAGGTAACTTGAGATGTTGTGCCCAGACCAAGTTGTCACAGCAAAAGATTGTCTCAAACATAGCATGACTTTTTTGATAGATGATGAATGATGTGTTTAAAGTTATTTTGACTCATTTTGGTTATTTGTTGCAGATGGAATATTTGGAGCAATGATGAAGGTGAGGTTCTCCCACCCCCAAAAGTGTCATTTCTCTTCTTTCTGAGTAGAAACTTTCTTAAGGATGTATTCTGATTCGGATCTTTTTAATTGTTTAAAGGTTAGTTTGGTCAATGATGGGCCAGTAACGATGCAGCTTGATTCATCGCAACCATCAAAGTGAGTATCACTAACCTTAGTGATATCTGTAATTGCGTAACATTCAGTTATTATCATGTGTTCCACAATTGAGTTAGAACTTTACATACTAAAACTAGTTTGAACCTTTTCAGGAATACAACTGAGGTGGCAGAAGAATCCTAAAATGGTGGATTGGGTACTATTTTGTTGACAGATCTTTTTAGAATTTATCACAAACACAAAATTTTTAGATAGTTTCGTGGGTGTAAGACCATAATTTACTACTATTCAGATGAAAGCTCAACCTTTCTATATGAAACAGCTTTTAGAAATTTCTTTTTTCTACTGAATTAGGGATTCAAAAAAGTCAGGGCTTCTTCAGTATCTGGTTATACCTGACTGGTGAAATTTTTATTATCACTCTGTGAAATTTTTCCATTATAACCTCTCAGTTATAATGGAAATTTATAAAGAACAGAAAAGAGAACCTCAGGTTTGAATGATATGATGCAGGATATATACTTTCTTTAGTCAAGAAGTCACAGTTGCAATTTTGGATGACAACAGAGCTAGGTACAATTAAATAAGTTTACTGAAGCCCGTCATTTATATACAGCAATGGCCAAGGAAGTTACCTTCAGTATGCGACCCTTTGAAAACCAGAAGTCATCTGCATGTTTTCTTGAACTCCTATGAAGTTGTTGAAATCATCATTGCAGCTGTAAACAATGCTTTTCCAAGGGATGAAATCTCAATGCTCCTACAACATGAGATATACAATGCACTTCTTTAAGACATAAGGTGCCAAAAAATCAACATTTGCATGTCAGCCAATCAACCTAGAGCTTGATTGCTCACACTAGCATAATTGTTGCACACACAACATGTACTAATATTACACGCCTAGGCGGAAACGAAAATATAGAATATTAGCGAAATAATACAAATAAAATTACAAAGATGGATGAAGAAGCTTACTCATCTGCTCCTCTTAGACTATTCAAAGCAGCAATTACGTTCTTAGATACTTCCATGAGAGAGCTATATTACAGCTTCCTTGCAATCAGACGTGCCAAAGATGTTGCTGTGATGACATGGACAAGTAGGCCTGAAAGAGAAATAACAAGATTTAATCAAATAAAAACAAAAAGGAATAAAATTGTGGAGATGAACTTCATAAAAGTTTTGCTTTGTTGCTCAACAATGATCTTTAATCGTTGAATTTCTTGTTTCAAAAACCACTTACTCTACAAGACCAATTTTCAGAGGTAATATCACAAAAATATTCCAGCTTTTGGCTTCAAGCTTAGATTTGCAGTTGTCTCGTGACTGTCATGTCTTATCTACAAGACTACAACAACAAAGCACGCATTTTCAGTGAAGATAATTCTGATTAAGTTTCTCAATTCTTGATTACCCTCGTATCAGGAGTTGAGCAAAACTTAACGCGAGATCAATTAACATTTTGAATAAGGGACCATGGAAACAACCCCACAAACTTTCAATGGAAAAGTCATCGTTCCAAGCACCTGCCACTTATTAATCTCATGTCATGTCACAGATGTCAAGCTCCATAATCTAAAGAGGTCCACAAAGTCAGAGATGATAGTGAAAATGATTTAGAAATATCTTATATTCAATAACATCTTGGGATCTAACCATTATCAGAAGTTTCTGCATACCCATAGAAGTAGTATTTTTTACTTCAAGTACAGCAATTGCTAAATCAGTATTATGATTCTCAGATGATTTTCCCATAGAAGTCTCAGAACAGTCAGACTCATTACTGATTCCAGCATAATCTTGGCACAGCCCACAGATTGTAGACAAGCAATCTTTCATTAAAACCTTTGGTTGACTCTTCTTGAATCCCACAAAATAAGGCTTTATTTAGACGAGCAGTGAAATTGATTGTAGTGAGATTGAAAATAGTAATAAAAATTGTTATAGTTACGATTAAAAAAAACAGTTACTATAACTGTAATTGAAAAAAAATTTAATGAAAAATTTATGCTGAATTGATCTCATTAAAATTAGCATTTAAATTCAATTGATAGTGCAGTGAGTTCAATCGCATCGTATCGAAAGTGCAGTAGAATCCAAAAGGACACTAAATCTAGCATGAGCAGCCAAATAGAAGACTCAGTGAGAAAATAACTTAACCCATTTAATGAAATATGTAAGAATGTAAGAAACAAAAGGTAGCAGAGAAATTTGTTGAGTAAGCACTCCCTCCAAAGGTTCCAGTTCATGGTTTCTGCAATATAACAATAATCTGTCAAACCTTCCCGATGATTAAAAAGCATAACATTAGAAATTGGCTTACCTTTATATATATTGATACAGGGTAGAAAATCTCCTTCAAGAACATTGATAAGATATTGAAACAGTAACATATTTCCTAAGGACTGCAACAAAGTTGTGTTAGCAACAGTCAAAACTTATCTACCTATAAAATAAAAGATATAAACATTTATTGTTATAGGACAGAAAATATAGCAACAACCCAACGGAATAATTAATATTACAATCAGCTTTGCCAATGGAATCACTAAAAAGTTGTAACGAGCAATTATGAGAGAGAACTTTACTACTATCTGAAAAGTTTCCAAAGCACTGAAAGATGAAATACAAGGAATAAGTACAGAAACCTTACTATCCTGTCTCTCTGAAATTGTTTCATTGGTTAATTCAGCAAGGCATTCTATTAATTCATGAAAACCCTGCCAACGATACTGACAGTCAAACAAAAGCTAACGATGCTATGCTCAAGCAACAATAGTTTCTACAATTAGCTTTCCTGCTATTAGTGTAATTTCCCTCTCATCCACAAAGCGTTCGACGTATAGAAAACCTCAATTATTCATATCCTCAATAAGCATTCCAAGGTTTAAAACAACAAATCCAACTCACATTGGAATCAAACAATTCACAGGAGTTTTTCCGAGTGGCTTCTCTGTCACTACGCATAACATCTGAAGAAACCACAAATGGCAACGATGCCTAAGCCAAGATTAAATTGAATAAATAAACGAACCAATCAACTTAAAATCCAGAATACACAAATACTTAAACCTTATTAAACATCATGAAGATTCTTATTTACCTCATTAATTATAACCAGTTCATGCGAACCATTACCAGATGATTCAGATATATAAAAAAATGTTATCAGACATTTTTTTTCTCAAATGGATTAAGTAACGAAATCATGAGTTAAATACAAATCAAAGTCAGTTACCATTTCGATCTCATTCAAAAGCTCATAGCTAGACATTATTTGCAACACCGCCTCAACCATTTTCTTTATTTAAAAAAGAAGCAAAGGATAAAAATAAATAAAACCAGGCAAATCAATCTTTTTATTGCAAAAAAAAAAAAAAAGAAAATAATTTGATTTTCAAAACAGAAAGAGAGAAAGTGAGAATATAGATTTACGCACGGCTTCCAGAAAATCAATACCTAAATTCAAACAAACAAAATAACAAAAAAAATCTACAATTTAGTAATAAAATTATCGTTAAAATTTATTTCAAATAAGAGAGAATACGAACGGTCACCTTTGGCGTCTTGAGAATCTTTGTGAGATTCGGCAGAGTCGAGAATTGCTGAAGTTTTCGCTTCCATGCCCCCTCTGTTGATCCTGACTCTTCCATTGCTGCAATTATTTCTGATTTTTCTCTTCTCCATTTGCTTTTCTTTTAAATTTCGAAACCCTAGTTCTTTTCAATTTCTCTCTACGTCTCTCATTCTTGAAGATGCACAGATTAGACGCGATTTATTTATATTTGGCGGGAAAAAAGTGGAAAAATATCGGGAAAAATATTAAAAAATCGGAAACTAATTGGAATTTTCAATTCAAATTCCCAATAATCTTCATTTACAAAAGTTTTCCGTATAATCTTCATTTACAAAAGTTTTCCGTTGCCGGGACTTGAACCCGGGTCTTTCGGGTGAGAGCCGAATATCCTAACCAACTAGACTACAACGGATAACGATACAAAAATATAACAAAACTTATATAAGATAATTCTTTATTTTTTTGCATGTAGCAATACAATTTACAAAAAATAATTCTAATGACAAAGATAAACTGTAAGCCTTCTATATAAATATTATATTGCTCAATCATTCAAATATCGATCCTGTATCATTGAATCCACCACAGGATGATTGGCAATGAATAACTTGGTATATGTTTTCTCAGTCGGATGAATTGAATCAACTAATTAATTTGTTTCAGGCTTACCATGTTTTTCAAGGCCTTGAAACTTGCACCATGATGATCGTTAATCTCTTCCACGCATGGAATTCACATCAGTTTGGTGCATTTGGTTGTATTCCATTCCAACCCGAGAATATTTTTCCATGCAACCACGCTGGAGGATGGCGTTTCAGAGTTGAGGGTGATGAAAACCGGCAAACAACCCATTGGAGGCAGCCCGGTAACTGAGATTTTCCGAGCTCCTTCATCCCATAAATCCTTTGGTAAAGAGATACTAATTAATCAAATTGGGGCAGCATTCAAGGAAGAAGAATGTTGTGAAAATGCAAAAGCGAATCAAAACTGTGAAGAAATTAACTTGGGACTTCTTTCTTTCTGTACTTTGAATATTCTTACATTCAAGTAATTGAGTCCTCAACTCCTTCATCATTCAATAAATTTTCTCTTTGATTTTGTCTGTATGATATGATTCGTGCAAGTTTTCATCATGAATGCATGGAAGGCAATAGTGATCCTCCTTTTATAACCGATTTATCAACACTAGCAATGGGGAAAGGGGGGGGGGGGGGGGGTGCGGGCCTGGTGCCATTGACCATATTCCTGTATGGTTGTAGTTGCTGCCATTGATCACACAAAAACCATCTTGTGGTTGTCAGGCCCTTTCTGGCTCATAACCCTTAAAAGTGAGACTTGAGAGCCCAACCAGGATACCCATTTTTTTAGTTTTACTTCACCATGGGCAGTGGTCAAACCAAACAGCCCTTTTGCAAGTATATTTTACTCTGATAATGAATTGATGATTACCATAAAAGCATGAGCCAATAGTTTGTGGCCATCACCACACCCTTGATTGTACTTGCCTTAGTCAATGAAGTTTTCTTCCCCTAATACATCGAATCTTAAACGCCGCATTTGCTTGACACTCTCCCATCTTCCTTCGATTTTAAGCCTTTAATCGTCCCCTTTTGCAGTCGAATTTTTCATTTTTTTAAATGCTATAATACATATCTCTTGCAATTAGTTTGGTCTTATTCCTTAATTAAGGATGTCAATGCTTGCATCCCAAGAAAAATGGATTTGCATATTAGCAACCTACCACATTTATATTCACAAAAACAGACTAATTTGAAACATCAACCAGTGGAAAAGGAGAAATTCCTGATACCAATTTAGATGACACAAACAAAATATTCAGAAAATTTTCTAGTTATTGTGGAAGTAACACATGTAATAAGCCCAATTTTTTTTTTTTAATAAAAGAGGTCATAACATTAAGATAAGAGAAAGGATTGTAGGTGTTGAGATTCAAATCTAAACATATCAAATGTTATTCTTTAAGAATAATTATAGAACCAAGTGAACTAAACTATAAATTAATCTTTTTTTAATCTTTACTTGATTATTATAGGAAACATTTAGCATAAAATCATTGAACATAGCATATATCACTGGCCAAATCCTAAACTGATAGTAACAGGGCAGATAAAAGTATATCCTTAGCAACAGCTGAGATGGAAAGGAATGTCTGGGAAGGGCAGTGCCTTTAAACTTTTAAACCAGGAAATTCAGTGGGAACATGCATTTTAAAAAGCTATGATTATAAGATGTATATCCAAAGAAACAACTCAGAATTCTTTAGTATTCCCTCTCTAACCCTCTTTTTCAAACGTACACATAGTCGTTATCCTTGATATTTCAGTAACTTGGATTACAGGTTAAAGGGGTATTAAGCCTCTTATAATCTGGGAAATTTGTGCTTAATTCAGGTATCGAATTGAGGCAAATTTATGTCGTTGAAGGAATACATAAAAGAAATGATGGGAAGGTTTTTTTTTTGGGTGATACATATGTAGAAAGTGCTATGACGTGGAATACTATAAATACCAAAATGCAGTCGTTGAACAATATAAAAAAATGGATTGATTCTTCAGCCAGCTTTCAATTCCCGAGCTTCCCCTATTTCTTATGTAATTGAACATGAATTACAGGAAGGATTTTAGAAAAAAAAATGTACAAAATGCAGGTATCTGCATAAATTAAGCCTGTAAATGATTAGACCAACCACATAAGTCAACGTTAGAGGCGTAAAATACACAAATCCACTTAATTCTTGATTGTTTGAATTCCAATTCCTTTCCATGAATTAAGCGGGTCAGTTGATTAAATGACAAGTTTCTAACTGGAATTTGTCATAGAGTAGGATAAAGATTCAAATTAAGTGTATTTGCAGCTTTATATTTCTCAATTCATGATTAAAAGTCCTCTATCCTAAATTTGGTGACACCGGGGGATTGAAATTTGTGGATAGCAAGATGGATGTAGCAGGTTGCCACCATCCAGATTCTGAGTCAATACTAGAGAATGTATGGGCGAACTTCGTTGGTGGAGAAAAAGCTGATAAAACCACTAGCGATACAACAAAATCGTCCAAATCATGGGAAGAACTGCCAAGCCTGGATGGGAGAGACGGATCCTTGGAGATTTTACAAAGGCTACCAAGTCTTGGGAGGTGGATATCAATGGGAGCTGACATATGGGAGGATCTTCTTGATGGAATTATTCCTGCAGGCAATATGGAACAATCCTGTAATGATAATACAAGCAAGGATATAAGCACTCGAGGACTTAAAGTGAATTCTATGACAGTAGAGAAGGTGGCAACAAGACACTACCGGGGAGTGAGGAGGCGGCCTTGGGGCAAGTATGCAGCAGAGATAAGAGACTCGTCAAGGAAAGGAGCTCGAGTTTGGCTTGGGACTTTTGACACAGCTGAGGAAGCAGCTATGGCCTACGACAAGGCTGCCTTGAGAATTAGAGGCCCCAAGGGATATCTTAACTTCCCGCTAGAGACAGTTGCCAAGGCTATGGGTATTGACTACACAAAAACTGACCTCAACTGTTGTATGTCTTGCACTTGTCAAGGTAATGACTCTGCTTGCACACGTCTCAGCTACATTGAAAATTTCACCAATCACCAAAAAAGAGAGTCTAGAGATTGGGAGGAAAACAGTGAGTTTGTGATGGTTGAACAGCCTACTCTAAAGAGAATTGCAAGTGTGGAAGAGGTGCTTGAGGATGGATATGATGATGTACTTGAGTTTCAGGATTTGGGGAATGATTATTTGGAGAGTTTGCTGTCTTCCTTTTGAAGGGATACAAGATTTGAAAGATTACTACTGTACATTGAGATTGGTTGATCATAGGCATAATACTAGTTTAATTTTATACATTACTTGTTGGCAGGAATGTATATGTTACTGTTACTCTAGGTTTGATTATTTAATTGTATACGAGATCATTTGATCCTTTCCTTTCATCGGTACAAGGGTCATCTGATCTGATTGACAACACGAGTAAAATCTTGTAAATTTGTTTTGGATTTGGGTCTGTGAATAATTAATAATTTTTTTGGGCTAAATCGGTAAATCCCTTTAAAATAAAACGTGATCACTTTCATAAAGTGGGTCATTTGCGGTTCATTCAGCTTCATCTTGGATTGACCTAATTTGAATAGGGCTAAAAAGCCTAAACCTCATGCACATGGACAAACACAAGGATCACCCCTTGGTCGATACACCATGGCTTTCTTACACATGGTTTTCTTCTTCTTTTTTAGTCTGGGCTGGCCGAATGCTTGCTCCTGCCGTGAGCTTCCTCGTAGTGAGCAATTCGAGTTCGACCATTCTCAATTCAGGCATAGGCGTATAACTTCATAGAATGGGATCTGCCATTCCAAATGGTAACTTCATCACACTGCACCGTGATGTCCAATGACGCTTAAATCTTTTTAGGATTAATCCAAGATTGATAGAGTTATCAGGACATTCTCTTACAAGTTAAACCATCTCAAACGTATAATTATTAATTAGTAAGGTTAGCTTATTGTAAAGATGAGTATATCTGCAGTAAATCTCACTAATTTCATTGTTTTTTACTTTTCGGTTTTGAAGTTTCAAAAATAGATAATGTCACAAATAATCTTTAATTATAATAAAATGTCACAAATTATTAAAAATTTTTAATGTGATTTATTAATTAATTTCATATTTTAAAAATTCACTTGAAATTAATCATGTAAGAAATAAATATCATGTTAATTAATATATTTACAATTTAAATATTACATTAAAAAATTTTAAAATTTATGAATTTAAAAATTATGACGTCACCCAAATTACACTTTTGTGAAGGATGGTACAACCTTTAGACTTGTTATTAATTCAATCATAGTTATTGGCTAATCAAGCAACTCCTTTCTTATCAATTTGTTATTATCATCATTAGTTCTATGGCCTCCCTTCCTCAACACTTAAACCAACTAACACCAGCACCAAACCTACTTTAATCACCTATTTCTAGCCATGTCCTTGCACTTCAAGAAAAAGAAAAGCCACCCTGCAATCATTCTATATTGGATCAGCTACAGCTAAAGTTGGGTGATGGGATTGTAGCAGGTTGTTAAAACCCGGCCCCAACTTCCATTTCTTTTCATACTTCACAATCCCCAGGGAGAAAATGAGCACAGCGAGATTTATCAAGTGCGTCACAGTGGGGGATGGAGCCGTGGGAAAGACTTGCATGCTTATTTCCTATACTAGCAATACTTTTCCAACGGTAATGATGTGGGGGATTTGATCATGGTGATTGTTATGACATCACAAGAAAAGTGATAGTAATGCAATGCCTTTTTTTTCTTTGGTTTTCTCCTTTTGGATATAGGATTATGTTCCAACAGTATTTGACAACTTCAGCGCCAGTGTGGTGGTGGATGGCAGCACAGTGAACCTTGGCCTATGGGACACTGCCGGTAAGTTCATGAGTCTTCAACCTTATAATCCTAGCTTCCAGCATTTCTGTGAAATTATACTGATCATTCAAATCAATGCTGTGACCTCTCAGTAAATTTGTGATTTTCAGGACAGGAAGATTACAACAGGCTAAGACCTTTGAGTTATAGAGGAGCTGACGTGTTTTTGCTGGCCTTTTCTCTGATTAGCAAGGCCAGTTATGAAAATATCTACAAAAAGGTAATTTTGCTGGCATAGCAACGTTCTTGTTTCCAGTTTTCCGATATTTTTTTCCTTAATCCAACATCCTCAAGTTCCTTGACTTAGACATAAATACTAAATTCATGGCTAACAGTGGATCTCCGAGCTAAGACATCATGCTCCAAACGTGCCAATTGTGCTTGTTGGAACGAAACGAGGTACAGCTTAGAATACTAGATCGTTCCCGTATTATTCAGTTCTGTCTTTCAATTTTTTTTGCACAATCCTGTTTTATCTTTGACTCTAATTGAGTGCAGATTTGCGAGATGACGAGCAGTTCTTGAGCGATCACCCCGGAGCAACAGTAATCACAACTTCTCAGGCAAGCTAACAATTAAACCAAGATTAAGTAATTATGTTATTATGCATAACACAAATATACTTGAATATTGCTCCAACTAATGCCTGATAGTTTATCGTTTGGTTCAACGAAACTCGGTGAGCAGGGAGAGGAACTCAAGAAAATGATAGGAGCTGTTACTTACATCGAATGCAGTTCCAAAACCCAACAGGTACCCTATTTCTATGCACTCTTTATCCTCTAATTTACCAATTTTTCCAGAATTCTCTTAATCATTTAATCTATAGTAAGTTTATAAGTTCAATAGATTTGTCCTTGAAGTAAGAATTTAATCTGTTGCTAGAAAATTTGTTCAATGAATTTCCTAATCAACTGTGTAGAACTGAAATTTTTTAAAAGGCTAACTTTCTTTTGTTCTATTTCTTCAGAATGTGAAGGCTGTTTTTGATGCTGCAATAAAGGTAGCTTTGAGGCCACCAAAACCAAAGAGAAAGCCTCGCAAGCGAAGATCATGTGCTTTCCTTTGAATTTCAATCAACATTAGGGTCAATTACTTGTCAAAAAATGTCTGCAGATAAACACTATCGGCTATACACTTTATTATTATTATTATTTACATAAATTTCATATGATTACAAGGGGAGATTACAAGTCTCTCAGATGATCGATTACTGAAGGAGTTCGAATTTTGCTGTACAAGTTCATTTTATCCTCTTTGTCGTGGCTAGCTTTGCAAATGCCAAAGCCTCTTCACAATTTTGTTTGTTATAGCTTCGATTGCAATTCAATAGAAGAACATTTGCTTGCTTGCAATTCAATACAAGCAGTTGGTGGTCTAACTGAACATTATTCAGCTCCAATAACATACTTGAAAATTCTCTTAATTGAACAACCATAACAACGCTCAAGCTTGTTAATTTACTTAACAAGTTTTTCGTTTTTCTTCCAAAACACAGCTATGGCCTGGAAACAGTGGTTAAAACGATTCTTAATACTAACTAATCAAGTTCATTAAAAGTGAACCTTTTTTGCTCAACAAAACCATTTCGAGCCTGATTATTATGCCATTACTCCTTGCTGCAAGACCAAGCAATTTGAGTTTGGCTCAGGTTAAAAGGATAAGCAGAAAGGGAAAATGAGTCAAATGACGCCAAAATAGAAACAAGTGTAATAAAGAAATAACAATGCACGAAATTGGAGCAGAGTCAGAGACCCCCCCCCCCCCCCACAGCCACAGGCCATAGTCCTGCCAGCAAAGAGGAGGGTAGGGGGTAAGTAGCCTATGAATAATGTGTACGATCGCTAGACTCTCATTCAATCATCATTATTAACAAAGCCAAAAGCCCCTACACACGTTTGCAAAGGCAAAGACAAAACTAAAACTACTTTCCCAGTATAGTACTTCAGTTTGCTAAAGACCTTTGATGGGATCGTCTTCTGCACTTACTGTAAACGTTCTTGTCTGTCTCCCCAAACGGAGAGCAAAACAGACATATTATTATACTATTATTTAAAACAGGACATGGTCCCATATTTCTTCGTATCAGCGCTTGGAATTGGGTGATTTTATCTTCTATTAAGCCTATCCTATGCAAGCATGATATATTTTATGTAGGTAAATCTATAGGTTAATAATTTGAAAGACACAGTTTGATTTGAACCTTTTAACTGAAGGCATAGCAATGGGATAAATCAAAATTTCCAGTTTGTAATAAAATTCTATTCTACTTAATAAATATACCATGACTCTGAAAAGACTTTTGACTTCTATATATGCTTGTTTCCTTCTAACATTTCATGCCGAGTTAAGGGAAGAGAATTTCGAGGATGACCATTGACCGCCATGATCACCAACTCCAAACCAAACATTCGAGGCCGCAAATTCCCAGTTTTTCAGTACCAACACTACCCTATGTTCGTGCAAATGCAACATCCTTTTGCATAAGTTCACAATTGTCTTGCCCTGTTTGCAGTATAATTTTGGAACTACTCAATTTAATTCACTCCGATGCAACATTGATTATTTGAAGAGGAAGATGTGAAATTGCAATTACTATCCCTCGAGTCAATCCAAGGTCCCCCTTACTTTGCCCAAAGAAACCATAACTTGTGAAGTTGCAATTACTACCCAACCCCTATTTATTCTTTGCAACCACCTTTTCCATTAGAATAATCCAATACTTACATCTACCCCTACACTCTTCCATTAATACAATGCAAGCAAAAACCGAAGAGAAGTGGAAAAAGAAACACTAGTATATGAAAAAGAAAAAAGAGAAGCTGATCAGAACAACCCATTTCTCTAAAGCAAAAAAAAAAAAAAACCAACCTCTTTTCTGTCTCTATTCTTTGCAGTTACAAACCTTACTCACTTCACTTCTCTTTTGCATTAAGAGCTTTCTCTGTCACCTTTGATGAGGATTCCAGTTAAACACCACCATGTATTCTTATCCATGTTTCTTTGCTTCTAGTCCAGGGGAATTGGCTTGTACTTTGAGTAGAAAAAGAAGTATTTCAGTTTAATGTAAAATGGGTAAGGAAGGGATGGGACAGTACTTTCAATCTTCCCCTTGTAATTTATTTTGATTTCCTTTCTTGTTTATCTTTCACCAGGGGATTCCTGTTGTGGGTTTTGCCTGTTATATAGTTATTTATATAAAATAAATAAATAAATGATTTTTATATTTTCTTTGGGAAATGGGAATGATTGTTTTAGTTAATTGAGAGAAAATTATCACGGGTCGGTGAGGAGGCTATAAGAAGAGATGTTATGTTTGCCTAGTGCGCAAAGCAGTACCAATTACCAAAAATTAGAACAACAAAAGGGCAATTCTATCTCTTGTTTCTCTTTTAGTGGGCTACTTTAGATTAGATATCTAGCTTAGATTTTGGCCACTATCTTCAGCATCTTCATCAATATCATGGCTTCGCCAAAGAGACATTGGCCTAGCATGTTCAAATCCAAGCCCTGCAACACTCACCACCAATGGCAGCATGACAGCAACCCATCTCTCATGTCAAGTAGTTGCTACAAAGCACCTTACATCTCAGGTAAATGACACAATTTGCAGTAGAAATGAGAACCTCCATCTTGTTATGTTCTTGTTCTCTGCTACGCTCAATAGTTGGCTGAACCATTTTCAAGCTTGAATAAGGGCCTGCTAAAGTCATCTAGCTAGCTCACCCGATATCCTTCCTACTTTAGACATCTAGGATTTGTCATTACCTACATAAATAACTCGTCAGTTATCTCATTAATTTGCTCCTTCAAACAGATAATCTGTTATAGTACTACTTGATAATTTTATGTTGAATGCTTGACCCTAGTTAAGAAAGAGATGAATAATTATAATATGTTGTTTGAATTCTTTACAATTGTATGCTAACGTCTTGTGAAACAGTTGCAGGATGTGAAGAGCGTAGTCGTGACACTAAACCAAGATGGAACCCGAAACCCGAACAAATTCGCATACTGGAAGCCATATTCAACTCCGGAATGGTTAACCCACCAAGGGATGAGATAAGGAAAATCAGAGCTCAGTTGCAGGATTATAGCCAAGTAGGCGATGCCAATGTGTTTTACTGGTTCCAAAATAGAAAATCCAGAAGCAAACACAAGCAGCGCAACCTCCAAAACTCCAAACAACAGTCCCAGCAAAATCAACAAACCCAGCAAACTCCTACCACCAATATTACCACCATCACTGCGCCTTCTTCGTCATCATCCTCATCCGAGAAATCTTCACCAAAAGGACCTAACAAGAGTACTATCTCATTGAGCTCTCCAAATGTCATGGATGTTTCCAACTCTCCGACTGCTTTTGTGAACCAGACCTACTTTCATCAGCCTCAAAACGAGTTCTTGAACGAACCCTTTTTCTTTCCTGCGCAACAGGCTACCGAAGGAGCCGGATTTACACAAGGGTTTGACTTCTCTGATCTAACCAATGTGATTCAAGTTCCTGAACAAACAGTTGGACCCTGTACAACTCTTTTGTTGAGTGAGATATCGAACCATGGGGCTTCAAGGAAAGAACATGAAGAAAAGATGAAGATGAAGCTCCAGATTAGTAACAGTGCTGTGACCACTGCTCCTAGTACTCACGCTATTCCTCCTCCAACTGTTTCTAGCCCGGCTACAATTACTGTTCCATCTAATAATCACCACATTCAAGGTAAAATTTTCAATTCTCTTTATTCTTTCACAATTAAATATGTTAGCTAATATAAGATTTGTCTTTAATAGTAATAAAAAAAGTTAGTACAAGAATATACACCAATTAATATTTCATGGACCAGCTAATTGACGTACTACCAAATTTTATGCACACGACGATGGAATAATTTGGTCATATGTGTTAAATAATGGGGATAAAGCGTCATTTAGGACCGGGATTTGTGACCATTGTCTCTAGATGGACGTGTGCATGGCTTATTCTCACTGGAATTGACTACTGCGTTGGTGTATATGTTTGAGTGATTCTCTGTTGGCAGGTGTTGGGGAATCGGATGAAGTGGGTCCTGGAGGTGCGGCTAGATCAACGGTGTTTATCAATGATGTAGCCTTTGATGTGGCCATGGGGCCCTTCAAGGTGCGGGAGGCTTTTGGTGATGATGCTATCTTGATCAACTCAGCTGGTCAGCCTTTTCTCACCAACGAGTGGCGGCCAACCCTTCAGTCTCTTCAAAATGGTGGATTTTACTATCTGGTTCGCTCATTAAGCCCCGTCTCGGAGTAATATATTGAAGGTGACAAACTTTGAAGAACCTTCTCTTAAATTTGTTATATCTTCAGCAATGCTATTATTTATAGTAGTATTTTTACATAAGTTATTACACGTGCATGACAGCTTGTAATTCAAAGAAGATAATTAGGACCCTTTCTCGTGTAAACGCTGGAAAGGTTTTGCATACCAATTGAGTTTTGTTAATTAGTGTGTTTTATTCTTGAATTGCTGAGGAAATGGATCACATAGGCTGACACTACTATCTTTTTCTTCTCTTTCTTGGTTTTCTCTCCCTCGCTTCTCTCTTTCAAGCTTGAAATTTGGCTTTAGGTATAGTCCTTAGGGCTCTCTATATCATGGATATGTATCTGGAATAATATATAGTTTGAAAAACTTTGTGGACCAATGTATTCTCCAATTAATTTCTTGTCAAGGCAATATGTATGAATTAAATATGCTATTTAATTTACTTTTAATATCCATGAAAGAACCATAGAAGTTACCTACTTTACTTATTTTTCGTTTTATTTTCTTTTGAACTTAAAGCTAAAACTCTTTTTGGTCATATTAAATATATTTGCCACTTAGAAATGCAGCCATCTTAATAGCTCAAAGAATAGCAGGTGGATTTTTTCGAGTGACGACTAGAATGTTTTCATTTCCAATATTTAGGGTTTAGAAAACTCTGCGTAGATCAGAAAAAATCATGATACCTAATCAAATCCAATTTGTCTTACTTCTTCTACACGATCAATTTTGCAAAAGAGTTTCCAGTTGATCCATTGTAATTCAGAAATAGGGTTTTACTTAGGATTCACCCAAAACATCAAACAACCTATTCAAAGCCCGTCTGTTTTTGTTAGAGCGACCAAAATCCTGGTTGTTTCAAACCCATTTTCTCGCACGAATCTGAAAGACTGAACCCCCTGACCCCCCCCCCCCCAAAAAAAAAAAAGTGTTTGATCGGTCAGTAAATATTTCCCTGTTGTTTTTCCTATTGCAACGACAATGAGCTAGCTATGATCTGGTGAGTAGTTGAAGGAGGGGAGTCAATTTTGGTGTTGAGTGTTGCAGATTTTTTGACGTGCACTCTGGTGAGAACAGTGTTAACCCCTCTCTTCATTAGCCATCACAGTCACGATTTGACAAAGCGAGCTGGATATGCCAAAAATGAAATTCCTCTACTTTTTCTAGGCTATCCTTTCCCTTACGACGTCACATTTCACGTTGTGGTTTTTCCAGGAACCATCATAATAATAATCATGACAACTACGATCCCGAAATTCAAACTTGGAAAGGCAATGGCCGTGCTAAGTCAAGAACTTGCAACCCTTTCTTTTTCAGCTTGGAGATCAGCTTCCAGAGGCTGAGAAATGGGAGATATGTTCATGAACAGGACACGTTGTAAGCAAAGTGATCAGGTTTATATGTACATGTCCACACGTGGGATTGGATGTGTCAACGGTAGGTTTGGTTGGATTGTTTTGTTCTTTCTTTGCAGAAGACTTCTGTCCAAGTATACCGCAGAGTGCAAACAAACAAAGATAGGGTGCTGCTAATGTCATGGGCTCCAATCTAAGACTCATAATCTGTACGGCTTTAAGTTTGGAATCACTTCATTCTAACTTAAGTCAACCTAAAACATAAGCATGTAGACACTAGAACAATGGGAAGGATAAAATGTGCAAGTTTAAAAGAAACAAGAGAACAAGAGAATTGTTGAAATATGCTTTGTATTTTACTAAAGCAAAAGTGTGTATGATGTACAAAGGAGGGTAGGACGACCCCCTATTTATAGTTGAGACCCCCAACTACACTTATGGCTAAATTCTTAGAATCAAAAAATTGCAATCAATCAAGGATTACACAGATTATATTAATTCAAGATTCTGCTTTCTGATTTTTAGGGTCAACCAAATCTTGCTAAAGGCTCCTGCTGATCCTATGCACTTCTAGAAGATCTCCTTATGCATTTCCTCTCTTAGGCCTTCCCTAATGTGGTGAGGGCATCTTACGGGCCTTGGCCTGGCTATGCGAACAGGTCTGCATGCTGTGTGGCGGTCCGGACTCCTCTCCAAGACCTAGTGCACAAACCCCCACCAATGCTTCTGGTAAGCGAGCCTCAACCTTGGGTGCTCGAGCTTGTGCACCCGGTGCGCCCACCCAGGGCCTGACATTCTCCCTCACCTGATTGTGCAACGCCCTCGTTGCGTCCTCTTTATGGTACTACTCGATCTAGTCCTGAAACTACCATAAGTTTTATGCTAGTTCCCAGCTTGCCTCACTGTCTGGAAGTCCCTTCCAACGCACCAAGTACTCATGTCTTGGTTAGTAGTTCTTTTACCTCACTTCTCGATCAGTTATGATGCTGTATACCTCTTTTTCATATGAGGCCCTAACTCCCAATGGCACACGTTTTGACTCTGCCCGTCCTGGATCTTCCTCATCTTCATGGGACGACTTGAGCATGCTAACATGGAACATCGAATGTACCCTCAACTTGAGTGGTATATCTAGCTTGTAAGCAATCTTGCCTACCCTTTTTATTACTCGAAAAGGTCTATTACACCTCCAGACTAGGCTTTTATGCAACCTCCTGTGGCTCACAATGGGATGCAGCTTTACCAATACCAAGTCTCTTACTTAGAACTACACATCCCACCTATTCTAATCTACCTATTTCTTCGACCTTTTTGTCGCTTTGTAAAGATAAACTCTAGCCAAGTCAGCTTGTTCTTACCAAGCCTTGGTAAACTTGTATGCTAATGGATTCAGCCCTTATAACTTGCAGCAATCGAACCTGGTGTTAGCGATTATTGACCTATTGCCACCTCAAATGGACTCTGGTTCATTGCTTCGCTCCTTTACAAGTTGTAAGAAAATTGGGTGACATCTAACAGCTTTGGCCAGTCCCTTTGCGTGGCACTCACATAGTGCCTGAGGTAGAAAACTCTAATAATCTATTCACACCTTTAGTCTGTCTGTCAGTCTGTGAATGCATGCTAGTGAAAAAATTTAAGTTTGACCCCAACAACTTGAACAACTTAATCCAGAACATACCCGTGAAATGCCCGTCCCAATCGCTAATAATGATCTTCAGCACTCCCTAGTACTTCACTACGTTTTTCAGGAACAACCAGGCTGCTTCCTCGACTGGACACTCTTTGGTTGCTGGAATAAAATTTTCATACTTGAAAAATTTATCCACCACTACCATGATCTTCTGAATCCCTTTGCCTTAGGTAGACTAACTATAAAGTCCAGAGTGACGCTTTCCATGGTCGCTCTGGCATTGGCAATGGCTCTAAAAGATCACTTGGTTTCTTGAGCTCCACCTTGTCCTATTGGTACACAAGATAAGTTTTCACATAAGCCTCCATATCTTTCCTCATGTGTGGCTAGTAGTATCAGTCTTCTAGCAAAGCTAAGGTGTGGCTCACCCTTAGGTGTCCAACCCACCTTGAATCATAACACTCATGTATGACTTCCTTGTAAAGCTTTTCATGCTGTGACATAAATAGTCTACTGCCTCTAGTGTACAACAAACCATCCTGCAACCAAAACCACCTGGTCTTACCTTGCTGAACGTACTCCATGAGAGCCTTGGCTGTAAGATCATGCATAAGTCCTTCCTTGATATACGATCAAAAACCCTTTTAATTGGCTAATGGCAATAAGGTTAGCCTTCCTGCTCAGGGCGTCTGCCACTAGGTTTGCTCGCTCTGGCTTGTACTTTATCTAAAAATTAAATTTTATAAAAAAATCTTACCATCTCACCTGCTTGAGAGACAGCTTCTTCTACGACTGAAAGTAGCTGGTCGTCACATTATCCCTCCTAACTACAAACTTCAATCCCAACAGGTAATGACGTTAAGTGTACAAGCAGTGCATCACTACAGTCATCTCTTTCTTCTGGATCATGTATCTACACTCAATCTCATTGAGCTTTCAATTTTCGAATGCAATCGAATGACTTTCCTGTATCAACACACCTTATATTGCATCTCTGATGCATCTATATACACCTCATACGGCTTGGCGTGGTCTAGCAAGGCCAAGACAGACTTTTCGATCACAACCTGTTTCAACCGATCAAAAGATTCTTGGTAACCTGTGCTTCACTCTTATGCTCTCTATTTCTTGAGTAAGTCATTTAATGGCATGGCTATGGCTAAGTGGCCTTTGATGAAGCATCTGTAGTAGTTAACCAGCCTAAAGAATGACCTCAACTCAATGACCTTGGCTAGCGGATCCCATTCTAGGATGGCGCACACCTTGTTTTAATCCATGTGAATCCTGTCACCTCTTACTATGTGACCTAAGAACGGGATCTCTTACTGGGTGATGAGCACTTCTCCCTCTTGACATAAAGCTTGTGCACCTGCAACACCTTAAACACCTGTCTCAAATGGTTTACATGCTCTCTTAACGTCTGGCTATAGATTACAATGTCATTAAGATAAACTATAACAAACCGATCAAAGAACGATTGAAGTACCTTATTCATGAGTGTACAGAAGGTTGTTAGGGGTATTAATAAGTCCAAATGGTATGACCAAGAACTCATACGAGTCATATCGAGTGACACACGTTATCTTGAGCTTATCTTCCTTTGTAATCCTGACCTGATAGGAGCTTGACCTTAAATTTAACTTGATGAACCACCTTGCATTCTTAAGTTGGTTGAACAAGTCTACAATAAGTGGGATAAGATACTTGTTCTTAACGGTCAGCTTATTTAAAGCTTGGTAGTCTATGCACAATCGTAACAACCCATCATGCTTGAATTGGAATAGAATCGGTGCACCATATGGCACTTCGATGGCCTGATAAAGCCAACATCAATCAACTCCTGAAGCTGCTTCCTTAACTCCTCTAACTCTAGTAGGGGCATTTGGTAAGAAGCTCTAACTAGTGGCTTAGCCTCGGGCACCAGCTCAATTTTATAGTCCACCCCCTCTTAGGTGATAGCTTATTAGGTAACTTTACGAGCATCACGTCGCTAAAGGATTCCAGCACCTTTAACACCTCGAAAGGGGTGTTAGACTCCTCCTCTTTCGATTTTTCATACTTCAGGAATGCCAAAAAGGTGTCTTCATCCCTATTCATCACCTTGGCAAATTGAATGGCTAACATTACTCTAGACACAATTTCAGATCCTAGCCTCAATGGTGCAAGGCATTGGCACCATGCATCCAAATGCAAATATAATTGGTAAAAGGCACAATGAGGGTGTTAATCCAAACAAAAAAATCTAACCCAATCACAAACTCACAGTCGTCCAAGGGTATTACCTCAATGGTTTCCTTGCCCTTTCAGTCTCCAAGCTACAACTCCATTCTCGTGCAACTCCAATGGCTAAAACTTTCTTGGAATTCACCATCTTGATGGTACCAGTCCCTTTTTGCACCTTTAGTTCGAGCTTCTAGGCTCCATCACCTGAAATAAATAAGTGTGAGGCATCTGTGTCTACTAGTGCGTTCACCTTCTGGCCATAACCATCAGATCCGTAAATATCAAGCCTTTTAGCTTGCGACTCCCTTATTTTAGACAGCATTGAGTACCAATGACCTAAGCTTTGTTGCCTTTACCTCTAGCACTTCGTCAAAACTTCTTATCTACAGCAGTCGACTTACTTTTCTGTTAGCAGTTACGTGTTATGTGGCTCCCTTCACATAAGTCACATACAAGTGACTTTTGGTGTCTTTTTACCTTCTACTTACCTGTCAGTGGCTTCTTTTCACCATCTTTGTCTGAATGATCTCAATCCCTATCTTTGGACTATCAGTCACGGTCTTTCCCTTGAACTGTTGCTCTCGGTCTCTCTTGTCCTTGCCATTTCCCTTGGGCTTAGTAGACTCGAACTTGTTTAGTGATTTGAACTCCACCAAGGACTCAACAGTAATCATGGCTTTAGCCAAGTTACGAACTCCACACCTTTGTAGCTCGTGCTTCACCTATGGCTTCAGCCCATCCATGTTTTCGTCTCACTCAGATCCGAGATCTAAAGCATCAGTTTAGAGAATTTTTGGACATAGTCCCTTATCTTCTCTTGTTGGGTAAACCTGTGCAGCTTTTCTCGTATCTTATCATTGGCGTACTCTGGGTAAAATTACTCCTTGAACTCTCTTTGGAACTCTATCTAGGTTCCAATCATGGTACCCTCGTGCTTCTCATCATCACACTTGCACCTCCACCACAATAAGGCAACATCAGTAAGATACATTGATACGGTGCTTACTTTGATAGCCTTATCTTACATGCTCATGGCTCAAAAATACTACTCCATGCCTCATAGGTAGCTAGTTGTCTACTTTCTTGACTGTCCTGGTCCCTTTGAACTCTTTGGGCTTGGGGATCTCTACACGAGTCTTGGACGCTCCATCAAACATACCATTCGCAATGGCAATCTTGCACGTAATGAGCTCGCTCCTGAGCTCCTCTATCTCTTTGCGCATGGCCTTCATGCCATCGCGCATGGTCTCCACCTAAGCTTCCAAAGTCTCATTCCTTTAGGTGATCACGTCCAGGCCTTAATTGAGAGCAGCTTGTAATCCACCCTTGAGCTTCTCTTTCATGGAGTCTATCAGCTCAATGTGAGTCTCTACATCATTAAGTTTCTCCTTTATATCGCTCACGGTCACCTCTACTTTGGATAGCCTCCCATCTATGGTAGATCAGATGTCTTTCGAACTGGCCTTCTTGCCCTTTCTGCGACCTTGCTCATAGGCCTTTGGTTGTTAGCTAGCCACATCGCTCTAGGATGCCATCTTTTCGACTACGATCTAACCTGCACACACACAAACAAGTAGAACCAAAACTGCTCTGATACCAACTGTCACGGGCTTTAACCTAAGACTCAGAATCCGTGCAACCTTAGGCTTGGAATCACCTCATTCTAGCCTAAGTCAGCTTAAAACACAAACGTGCGGGTACTAGAACAATGGAAAGGATAAAATGCTTAAGTTTGAGGGAAACAAGAGAATAAGAGAATTGCTGAAATATACTCTGTATTTTACTGAAGCAAAAGTGTGTATGATATATAAAAGAGGGTGGGGTGACACTCTATTTATAGTTGAGGCCTCTAGCTACACTTATGGCCAAATCCTTAGAATCAAGGAATTACAATCAATCAACGATTACACAGATTACATTAATTCAGGATTCTGCTTCTTGATTTTTAGGATCAACCAGATCCTGCTTAAAACTCTTGTTGATCCCGTGCGCTTCTAGAAGATCTCCTTGCGCACTTCCTCTCTTAGGCCTTTTCTGATGTGGTGCGGGCATCTTGCGGGCCTTGGTCTGGCTGTGCGGACGATCTGGACCCCTCTCCAAAACCTAGTGCGCATACCCCCGTTAATGCCTTGGTACATGAGCCTCAACCTTGGACGCTCGAGCTTGTGCGCCTGCACATCCGCCCACGGCGTGACATTAGTGCTAAGCTAGGCAGGCAGGCTCTCCATCCGCCATGAAAAGCACGTAATGGCGAGTCCATTGGTCTGATATTTCCTTAAAATTTTGAAGTTGGATCAGCATGGTTTGATTCTTGCCCATTGGGCTGAATACGATTGCCTTGGGCAAGACAATGCTGACCAAACCAATCTTCTATTTCGGTCTTTCTTCCATTAAATGCACAAAGTTGAACCATTTTACTGAATTCTTCAAGATAATTATTAGTAAAATGTTCTTTCTTTCACGCTATAAACTCCTTATATGTTGTTGATGCAAACATTCACACTGGTTGCTTCCTAGGTTTAGTATAATTGATTATTCCACTAAAGTTGGATCTTAATTTGTTTCTTTTCCATTTCCCATTCCTTAACAATTACACGATTTTAGGCAAAGCCTGTTAGTTGTAACAAAAATATCTAAACCAAACTGTAAGAAAACAACAATTTGTTTTTGATATACTATCATATAATTCCATTTTTTTATGTTCTAAATCCTTCGACATAGTATGACAATCTTCCTAGTCCCACAATTAACAATTCTATATACGTACATTAACGACCGAGAAAAGAACAGCAAAACTTGTTTATTTCACAATGTCAAGCAGTCTTTTTGGGCATGTTACATCATATAATAAGACTACGGAAAATTATATGATTAAGAAATTTATGCTTAAATTCAAAAGTTTAATTTATTTAATTCATACAATTATTTTTAAAAAATTAATATTTATTAAATTTAATATTCAAACCTCTGTAATGTGACTACTTTATTATTTTCATTATGTGACTTCTTTTATAAAAAATTTTATATTTATGTGATAAAAAAATAAATAATAAAATGCATGTTTCAATGTAATTGGTCAAAAATTATCCTTTGATTTGATCAAAATTTGTGTCCATAAATTGACAAATCATATATAAAAAAAAAAAAAAAAACAAGATTCAACAAGTAGTTTGATAATGTCCACTAATTTCCATTCTAGTTTTCACGTGTGCTAAGAAAAGTAACTAATCTAATTTGTTTAACAAAACAAAAGGGTGAAAAAAGAGAAAAAAAAAAAAATTGCCTGAAAAATGGCTACTTAATTATTAAGGTTACCAAACAAACTTTCTCCAACATATTAAAAAAAAAAAATCCAAACTTTTCTCCAAAATCTCGTGAAAAAGGGTTAATTTTGGTTAACCCGCCACGAGCCACCATAATCATAGTTCATAGCCATTTGCCAACTAAAGCTTTTCTCCAGACCATCCCAAACCCAGAACCCGAAAAACAAAACAAAATGCCACCTTTAACATACCAATTACCCAAATAACAAGAAGAAAAGAAAAAGGCGTTTCTTTTTTGTTTTTATTTTGCTTTTTAAATACTTCGACACCAATCAAAGACAACATCGGACGACATATAACAAGAACAAGAGGAGAAAGGTGAAGGAATAAAAAAAACAAGAGAAAAATGGGAGCTTACAGGGCGGATGATGACTACGATTACTTGTTTAAGGTTGTCCTGATCGGTGACTCTGGGGTTGGAAAATCCAACCTTTTGTCTAGATTTACAAGGAACGAGTTTAGCCTGGAATCTAAGTCTACTATTGGGGTTGAGTTTGCCACCCGTAGCATTCATGTTGATGATAAAGTTGTCAAAGCTCAGATTTGGGACACCGCTGGACAAGAAAGGTATTTGTTTTCTGCCATTTGTTTCTGGGGTGCGGATCTTGATCTGGGTTTTAGACATTACGCTTTGTTATTGCTCAATTTGAGGACTCGGATCCTTTTTTGCTGTTATCTGAATGTTGGGATCTTGCAAAATGGGAAATTTATGAGATTTAGTTCCTGCAAATGAACAAATTGTATAATGTTCTTGGTTAATGAAACACATATCGGATTTCAATTGGAAATAATAGATTGTCTTGTTACATGAAATTGCTTGCTTGGCTATTCATTCTTGTCTTGTATCGAATTTTGGTGGAATAATACATGGCTAACGTGCTCTTTTTGCTAGAGTTGTAGATTATAATGCCTAAGTCGTCACCTCCACAATAGGAAACTGGACCTTTTCCTGTAATGTGGTTGCCTGCTTTGTTTTGTGTATTAGCCACTTCTTTGTTTCATTGCTGGAGTGATAACATTGCGAAATTGGCATTTAAATTTTATGTTAATGTGGCCTTTTATTCTCATATTAATTATGGTCTAGAATGGATATTATTATAGATCATTATCCAAGAAACTTCTTCTTTTTCTTTCTTTTTGTTGATTTTTTTTTTTTATCCAGTTCTGAAAGCTTAATATTCATAAATAAAACTGACTATTACTGCTATTGAGGGTATGAAGGATGGAAGAGAGAATCTTTGATTCCTAATATTCCTTCTCTGTGCTTTAATCAGCTCTCTTTCCTCTTGACACTGGACTTGTAAGTGTTGGAGAGTGACCTTTAATGCATTAATCTTGGCTTACCAAAGAAAGGCTTTAAAGAAGACAGAAAGAGAGCCATTTTTGTACAATTCCCAGCAGTATGATATGACTTATTTTTCTTTTTTGGATCACCTTTTTACAAATTTCTTGAAGTTTTTTATGTACTTTTTTTCTGAATTGGGTGCAAATCATGAATCACTAGGAACGATCTTCTAATTTCTCTGTCTACTCTCTTTTGCTGAAGATATCGTGCGATAACCAGTGCATATTACCGTGGTGCTGTTGGTGCTTTACTAGTCTACGATGCCACCCGTCACGTTACATTTGAAAATGTAGAAAGGTGGCTGAAGGAACTTAGGGATCACACTGATGCCAACATTGTGATTATGCTAGTTGGGAACAAGGCAGACCTGCGACACTTGCGAGCAGTTGCCACTGAAGATGCCAAAGCTTTTGCTGAACGAGAGAACACCATTTTTATGGAAACATCTGCACTTGAGTCTTTGAATGTTGAGAATGCCTTCACGGAAGTGCTGACCCAGATTTATCGTGTTGTAAGCAGGAAAGCTCTTGATATTGGAGATGACCCGGCAACTTTGCCCAAAGGGCAGAGGATCAATGTTGGATCAAAAGACGATGTATCAGCTGTGAAGCAAGTTGGATGTTGCTCAGCTTAAGCATGGAGAAGAAGTCTAGAGTTATTTGTCTTTGAAAATTAACCAATTTACAGCACAAAAAAGCGAACATCAACAATGCATTGACAAATTGACATCGTGCTTTGGATGCTAAACACAACTCGTCTATGTTAGCTTGATTAATGGTTTTATGTTGTTTTATTTGTTAATTTCAAACATTTTGCTTTTGTTTCCTTCTTTGTTCATTGCTTTAAGTGCTAAACCATCTTAATTTTATACAAGTTCAGTTTGTTTCGAATCATTGCCTGACTGTTGGTTTTTGATGGAACACCCAGCTATTATGCTTTGAGCCTGTGATGGCAGTGGGTATATGATATTGGAAAATCAAAGCTCCTTATGTAGTATCTTGTTTACTCAGTTATGCTTATTTCCGTAAATCATTGACACTAGCCTCTTTTGATATTGTTGAGGTGCTTACCATGATGGGTCCGATCATCTTATTTGCCCATAGATCGGCCGCACACGGCTGCCAACCGTAAAAATTACTTGTCCCAATTACAGGGTATTAGAGCCCTTGGTGATCCAACCAAGGGCAAAAAACGAGACCCCAGCCAAGGAATTGATCCAACCCAGGCTCCGTTCGTATCAGTAACATTGACAAGAGAATTGTAGCATTTTATTTTCTTTTACTACAAGTCGTTAAGATTAGGTGTAGCTTCATTACCATTGTCTAGTAGTATTATAATTTTGGTGAATGTTGTTGTCAGTTCGACCAGAGGAAATGCATAATCTTCTCTTCTTCAACATACTGGATGCCCTCTTTGCTTCACTTTTGAGATTGAAGCCCTCGTTTTCCCTGACAGCCAGTAAAATAAGCAGAGCATAAAGAAATCTATTCACTTCAAAAACCACACCAGAATGATTAAATTATGTGCCACCAAATGGAAAAAAAAAATGTCTTTGTAATGAGCAACACTTTTAATAAATAAAAAAAGGTCCTTGTATGTGAACCATCTATTAGCTAAATCGTAGAGAGCACAAATTTCTTTTGCTGAAGGAAACACTTGCTGTATATGAAGCTTTGTGGGAAAGTCATTTCCGTGCTTCAACTTTCTTCTGCTCCTTGGCTGAAACAATTAAATATGAATATTCATCAATTTCAAAATGTCTAATTCCAGAAAACAAGTAGTGGCGGCTCCGAATGTCTTACCAGCCTTTTCCTCTTCCCGTTTTCTAGCAGCTTCTTCTCTCTGCTGTCGTATGAGGGCTAGGCGCTCTGTATCACAATAAAACTCCAAATTTGAAGGGAAAAATGGTAGTAAACTAAAGCCCCAAAGAAAATAATGTCCATAACCATCATACAAAAACGAACCAACTAGACTGAGTTATATTTTTCCAGTGAACAGTGAAGGTTAGTTATATAGGCCATTGTGCTTGTAAGTTAGGATGTGGGAAGCAATCTTCGCATGAATTAAGATTTAAAAGGCATTCAGCTTGTTCATTTTACCACGGGCAAATATATATCCTCAGATTGAAGAACAATTATCACAGCCCTTTAAGTATTTTAACCCACAGTAACATCTCCCTAACATCTAACCAAAGAGAAAAAAATGTCAAATAACCCTAAACTGGAGTATACAGAGGCAAGGGAATCATATGTTGCACGATAAATTGATGATTGCCACGGTAAGTAAATTCTTTTTCATATATGTTGAAGTAATTTGAAATATGTTTAGCTATGGTTATTGCCTTAAATGATCAAAATAGGATAGAAACAGAGGCCAGAAACTACAGCTTAGCCCGTTTTTATTGATAAGATAGGATAAGTAACAAGTGTAAGTTTGATAAGAGGTATAGGGATACTTGATTAGCTTACCTAAATCTTTCTTTGCTTGTTCTGTTTTCCCCTGCTCCTGCAGCCTCATATATCGTTCATGAGCTCTCTGCTTTTCTAGTTCCTCCCTACAAAAAAAGAGATGTATAAGACGAAAGCATTTGGACAAGAAACATTAAAAACATACAAAGTTTTAGCTCATGACAGATATATGGACCTAAACATGAACCAGAGGTAAAGAGTATCAAAGCAGAAATTAAAAGGAAAGAGAAAGGAGCATTTAAAAACCTTTCACGCCTTGATAGTTCAGTGGTTTTCCCAATCTGCACATGAGAGAAAAAAAAAATCAAAACGTAAAATAAAGAATTAGTTGTAAACCATACAATCACTGAAACAATTTATACGGAGATTTCCTGAAACTTACATCAACATCTCTAGCTTTCACGTTCTTGGGCTTCTGCAGATTAGGATTGTTGATCTCAATAACACCTTGAGTTCCCTTCCGCTTTTGCTATCGGTGGGCAATAAGAAATAATTACAGATTTCATTAGTCATTTACAAAAATAATCCAACCTATATGCAAAAACAATCACATGGTACAAAGAAACCCCGATTGCCAGTATACTTACTTCAGTTCCATCATCAGATTCCTCTCCAGACTCCTGTCCAGATTCCTCATCAGGTTCTAACTCCTCTTTGTATTCAGCTTCTTGCTAACAACATTAAAGAATAAAGAGTAAAGAGTGAGTTCTTATTGTTTTGCAACACACATGCCTATACAACGTGTGCACGAGCCCGTCTAAGAGAAAGATAGAGAGAGAGTACCCGCTTAAATGTGCGAGGACGAGTAGAAGTACCAGCAACTGCAAACACAAAATCAGAATCAAAACAAAACACAGTTTCATTCAGGCAGTGTCTAGCCCTAACCAGGGACGGATCCAAGGTGGGAGCAGTGGGAAATCTTGAAAATTAATTTAAACCACTATGAAGTTATCCAAAATTTTAATGATTCTTGTATTTTCCCCCTACTAAATATCAAAAAATAAGTAGAATTATTAGAAATAAATCCTTTTTTATTTTTGTTTTAGACCCATTAAATGAAAAAGAAATACATAAGTGTGAGTCTTTTATAATATTGAAAGGCATAAGGATTTATTATAAAAAAAAACTGAGTAAAGTAATGGTTAACAATGTAAAAAAAAATTATTATACCAATATTATTGGTAGTTAATATAATAAATTTGCCCTCACTGAGTACAAATCCTGGATCCGTCCCTGGCCCTAACTCAGACAATGTTTCATTATCATCGAATATCTTTACAAGCAAGAATTATCCTAAAATTTAAAAAAACAACTGTTCTAACTTTTTTAAGCATCGTTTTTGGAATTATATATATTCAATAAACCACGGAAAAAAAGCTCGACCTGATCAAAATTTCACAAATTGAAATAAAAATTTTGCAATTTCAACTATCTTTGTCAATAATAAAATTAACGAGTCTACATGCTTCCATGATTTCCAGTAAAATAACAGAAAAGATCTGAATTCTTTTACCTTTACTCGAATTTTCTTGGTAAAATAAATCCAAACAAACGTAAAAATTGAAAACTTTATAAGAAGAAAATCTTACGCATCTCTTCTGGAGTGGAGAAGTGGCGTTGACCGGTGGGCTTTGCCTTAAATTTTCCTCTTCCCATTGTTAATAACAGAGACAAACAAAATCTACAAACAAGCACGAAAGGTTTCTTTTCTAACTTTTAGGATAATTTTTCGCAGAGGAAAAAAAAATAATTCAGTCGCTGATTCGAAGAACCCTAGCCTTTAGTCAACCCGCGCTGTTGTTTTACTTTGCGAGAGATTGTATGGGAACCCTTTTTTCTGATTGTATGCGAATATGAGGCGTAATATTGCGGAGAGAATGATCAGACGGTGGAGGTGGATGCGACACGTACTGGGCTCCACTTTTCTTTTTCGAAGGTAATATTATTTCCTTTTTTTCATAAAAAACTTCTTAGTGAATTTAATATGAAGTATCCCAAAAGAATAATGTGAATTTAATTGAACAGTATATTCCAAAAAGAATATGGAATTTAAAGGTATTTTAGAAACTTCTAAAATAATTAGTGCTGTTGAAAATTTTTTAAAAAAAATTTTATTAAAATTTTATTTTATTAAAAATATTTTTAGGTCCAAAAAATAAAATAATTTTTTCATTAAAAATTATCAATAAATAATTAAAAATATTTTTAATATTTAAATTAAATTAACATATCAAACCAAGCTGATTTCACAAGACTACGATAACTCAGCTAGCTCATCTATTTACTTAGTAAGCTCCTTAAATGCTACCTTGTCATTAGCAAAGTGAACAATTAACTTGCAGGTCAGCTTAATCTACCAAGTTATCCTGAACTTAAGACTGCCTTAGGCAGATTAAGTTGCCCATATTCCTTTTCTCTATAGGTTTAAATAAATTCAAGTACCATTTTATTATCTTATTTTCTTTCACTTTCTTTGTGTTCTCTTTTTTTTTTATCCTATGCTGGTCTTTTATTTGTGAAATATAAATGTTGGGACTCTTCCTAATTTTTATCTTTAATCGTTTTTTTTTCTCTTTTTTTGTTTCATTTCAGAGTTTTATTCTTTCAAGCAGAAATACACCTTTTTAAAATATTTTACTAATAAAATTGTAAATGTATTATTTTATATGAAAAAATACATTTTTGAAATCGTAAAAATTATAATTTTTATAAAAAAATATATATCTTAAGAAAAAAATATTGACATTGAATTTAATTACAAAACAAATTTCTCTTGCAACAGAATTGATAGTAAAAGGAAAATAATACAGCTTGGATAACAAAATACCTTGTTGATCTGAAAATCAACGAAATACTCACACAACCAAGGCATGCAGCTTCTCAACAAACCCATCCATGTAATGGTCTTCAAGCCCTGGTCCTAAACGGAACTCCTTCCATTTGGAATGGTTGGCACTTGCCACTCTGCCTACCTCACTATCATCATCCATTACCAAAGCCGCAATGAGTCATGAAACACCCCACAGAAGGATGCCTCAGGATCAGTTGTTGCGGCACCCAACCTCGATGAACCAATCCTCTTCTTTCTACTCTCCCCTGGAATCCTTCTGGCAATGCTGACTCAATTGTTTCAGCTCCCATTGGTGGTTTCAGGTCAACCAAGAATGGTAAACCTGTAACCTCAAGGCCTAAAACCGATTCCTGGAGCTTTTCCTTTTTGCGAACACACTCACTCCCAAAGGCACAGAATATCAAGGTCTTAGCTTGAAATTTGATTAATAACTTTTCACATCGTTCTTCTAACGCCATTTTTGGTGGCTCTGGCACTACCGGACCAGCAAAAATCACTGGCTTTTCGAACTGTTTTCCAATATATTCACAATAAGGTCCTTCGATCTCCCTGCATGTTTTGAAACCAATTGCATCGCACTCACTTAAAGACCTTAGCAGGCGCTTCCCAAAAGAAATACCACTTCCATAATCCATAGTTGTTACTGCAGCTAATCCTCGAGCTTCATGGGCGCGTAGCTTGATAGTTGCAGAAGGGAAACCTTCTGGAAGTTCCAGGAGATCAGGCCCTGTCAAACCTTTCTCAAGATTCTTTATTGCTGGACTAAGAAAACAGCCAATAGTTGCGGAGCTAATGATACAATAAAAGCACGGACTTGATGCCTAGCCTGCGAGTCGAGGCTAGCAACCAGGAAGTGAAATCAAAGAAAACGAATGGTGTTTGAGTTCACGGAGGGAAGCTTCAATCTCAGGTTCCGTGAGGTCCATCGCGGTCATAATGAGAGGATGCAAAGGAAAAGGAACATCATTTGTTGTTTCAGCGCCGAGAGGCAGGCCTTCAACATGTGGAACGGTGATAGGAATGAAGGTTATGAGATCCGGGAGGAGATTAAAAGCCTCAACCTTGTGCTGTGTCTTGCCTGGCAAGAAGAAGGAAATTCTATGGCCTTTCTCTGCTAGTTTGTTGGCAACGTGGACAAATGCAGTAATATGGCCAAGGGCAAAACCATGGATACATCGCAATGTGAAAGGTTTTGTGCGCCATGGTGTCGTGATTAATTTGGTCCCAAATACCTGCTCAGCTAATCAGAAAACAAACTCGAGTCCCCCCTCAAATTCAATCATTGCATTGCTTACATACAATGCCTGGAAAATTATTGGGCCTTCGGTTTTTCAAAACATGTCTGGTTTCTCTGTTTTGGGCTTCTTGCAAAACAGAAAATCAGTACTCAAACTCTGTTTGGTGACTACTGTGAGAAGACCCTTTTAGAAAAAAGAAAACCAAAATATGCCAAATTTGGAGTAGTTGCACCAGCCAAAATTTTGGCCCTGATTAATGGGGCAAGTACTCCATATAAAGGATGAGTTTTCACCAACTTAACATGGCCGCTTGTATGAAAAGGTGATGCGTCGAAGTAGGTATGTTCGAAGGTTCTAAACAGCTTGATGTGTGTTTTTAATTTGATGGAAAAATCAAGTCATTTTAATCGCAATTGGCATCGAACAGACATTATACAGAATCACGATTGTAATATAATCCAATAGAAATTCATTATATTTTTTTTACTGCAACAATGTTACAGGTACTTCAATTATTAACTTGACAAATAAAGCTGATGCAAACAAAACTATTAGTGTAAGAGTTTTCAAGCCCTTTTCCTAGAAGGAACTCCTTCAATTTGGCTTAAATTGCCCTCGCCTGGCCTCTTTTCCTACCTCACTATCATCATCCATCACTGCCTTGCAAACATTGTCCTCTAAGAAAAGTCCATGTTCTTCACCTTTCTCAACTTCTACTCCAACTTTCAGATCTCCAACCATCAATCTTACATTAATTATCTGATCTCTAACATGAGGCAACAGCACCAATTGAGAATCATTAACCATAGCCTCTGATAAAGACCCAGAACCACAATGGGTCACGAAACACCCCAGGGAAGGTTGCCTCATGATCAATTGCTGCAACACCTAATCCATCCCCATGAACAAACCCTCGTCCTTTTAATCTCTCTTGGAATCCTTCTGGCAATGCTCACTCAGTTATTTCAGCCCCTGTTGGTGGTTTCAGGGCAACTAAGAATGATAAACCAGTAAGCTTTAAAACCAATTCCTGGAACTGACGTTTTTGAGAACACACTCACTCCCCAAGGCACAGCGTATCTGTTAGAAAAAATTAATAATAAAAAAAATTTTAGGTATGAGACGCGAAGAACATTATTCATATAATCATGATTTTTATAAATAATAATTTATTTATATTTAAATAATTATGATCATTTATCATATGATAATTATTTTTATTCAAATATAATTATTTAAAATATAAATAAAATTAATATAAAAATTAATTTTATTCATCAATGATTAAATGTTTTTCTCCAATGTGAGATGCATCACGTTCTAAACTATTAACAATCTCTCACTAGTTTGAACTATTGATGCTTAATTTTTATTTTTCACACAAATAAATATTATAAATATAAGAAAAGATCTCTCGATTTAAACATTCAATTAATGTATATATCTTAAAATTCTAACGAAGTTGATAATAACTTGTTTTTACCTATTAAACTTTGTAATTAAAGGTTACTAATTCAAAATTGGGTTCCCATTATTAGTGTCAATAGTAAGGGTTTAAATCCATTCTACTTGTAGTACTACTAACCAAGTATCTTAAAATTCAATTTTCTTTTATGTTAATTATATGTACTTAAAATTAAATCTCTATTATAATCACTTCAGGTTAATATATTCAAACTTTTCATTTTGCATATCATTTATATATTTCAGATATTGTTACCTCATTCTTATCATTTTTAAAAATAATTTGTTTCAGATGTGGCCACAACTCTATATTTATTAATTTCAATAATTATATTTCCATACTTTTGTATATTTTTAATATAATTATTTTTACTACTTTTGGTTAAAAAATTTAAGATTTTATTATATCTGAAAAGCATAATTACTTTTAAATTATTAGAAAAAATAAATAAGAAAAAAAAATTTTGATTTTAAAGCGTGAAAAACACTTTTTACATAACCATAATTTTTATGAATAATAATTTATTGATATTCAAATAATTATGATTATTTGTCATACAATAATTATTTTTGTTCAAACATAATTATTTAAATTATAAATAAAATTAATATAAAAATTAATTTTATTTATTGATAATTAAATTTTTTATCTAATGCAAAATATACCGCATTCTAAACTATTAATAGTATCAAAGTTTGAGCTTAACCCATCGTTCTTCTAATGCCTCATTTGGTGGCTCCGGCACTACTGGTCCAGCCAAAGTCACAGGTTTTTCAAATTGTGTTTCTATATAATTACAATAAGGCCCGTCAATCTCCCTGCATGTCTTGAAACCAATAGCATTACATTCATTTAAAAAAGTTAAATGGCGCACCACGATGACATACCACTTCCGCTTTTTTTTTTTTGTGTCAGCGGCTAGTCCTCGGGCTTTCATGGCCACGTAACTTGGAGGCTCTATAAGATCCGGTCCTGTCAAACGTTTCTCAAGAATCTTTCTTGTTGGACTAATCAAATAGCCAACAGTTGCAGGGCTAATGGTACAGTAATGCGTGGACTTGATGCCTAGCTTGCTATACAATACTGGCAACCAGGAAGAAAAATCAAATGGGCCATGTAAAAAATTTTTGGGCTTCAACTACTTTCATAAACGTCATCGTTTCTGTATAAGAAGCCCACGCTGTAAATATTAAGGAAAGAAACGAAAATAGATTTGGTTTACCAAGAAGAAAAGAAAATTAAGGAAAGGTTTAAACTTTCGTGAGAAATTTGAGGGAAAGGAAAATAGATTTGGTTTTGCCGCTTAACCCAATTTTTTATCCCAAAGAACAAAGACTGAAAGAATTAGTTAGGATTTGAAGTGAGGAATCTGATTTTTTGTGAGAATTCTTTAAATTTGCAGTAAAGTCGAAAACTTTACGCTCATTTTGTTTCTAAATTGACATACTGAACGGAATGAAGCATGGGAAAGAGGAAATCCAGAGCAAAGCCTACTCCCAAGAAGCGAATGGATAAGCTTGACACCGTTATCAGTTGTCCCTTTTGCAACCATGGCACCAGCGTTGAATGCCGCCTGTAAGTATAAGCTTCTTTTATTTGTTTGATATGAAGTTTTACTCTTATTGGTCTGACTGATATGGAAAAGGAAAACATTGGTGTTTATGTAAGATCTTTGAAATTTGTGGATTGCTCTCTAGCTTGAACTATTTTATCTTTTCATAAAGTAATGTTGGTGTTTTATTGTTCCAGTGATATGAAGAACTTGATTGGCGAAGCCTCTTGCAGAATATGCCAGGAAAGTTTCAGCACTGTTGTAACGGGTACTTATGATCCCGTTAATTTTTGGCTTGTAAAGAAGTAAAAATTTTTGTGAATTCAAGTTGGCAGTATCTTGTTAAGTTATCCAATGTTTCTTTTGTTTCTTTATTTGCAGCTTTGACTGAACCAACAGTGTAAGTGCTATCAATGTGGTGTTTACTCTCTGTCTATCTCACTTTATCTCCCTTGTATGCTTACTGTTCTTGTGACTCGCCAGATATAGCGAATGGATTGATGAATGTGAGCGGGTTAACAATCTTGAAGATGATGAAGATTAAGATGAAGGTTTGATGCCCCAAAAACGGTTTTCAACATCTGAGTGGTATCAGCTTAGCAATAGCCAGGAACGCTTTAGAACTTGATGAGGCCGTGATAATGTTGGTTTCTGTAGGGCACATCTAACAGCAACCTATGATTAATAGCCTAAGAGATCTATTGTACGATAACTGAGCCACTTTAATTGAATGGCTGTTAGCTATTGTTTCGTGTTGTATGAACTAATTTTTGTTGATGTACTTGATTATATGCCCACTTATTGACAGATATCTTTTCATAAGCAGCTGAAAGATTTAGCATACTGTATTAAAACCCTAGAAATATAATTAGCTTTTATTGCTTACATGTCGTAATAATAGGTATAAAAATGAACTGACGAAAATCAGCCATTTCTCTTGCTTGTAACCGTCTTCCAGAAGTTAGACTGGGCGACTGCACCGAGGATCGTCAAAAAGACTAATGCAGCACTACTGTGTGCAAATGAACTTTACAAATTTATGGCCACCAAAATAAGAGCTTGACTTGTTTTTCTGATAATGAAAAACTGCAGAAAGGACTGGTAAAAATGCAGAGTCTCTCACTACTTCTATGAGTTAAAATGCTTCAGCCGATGTATAACCAGTTATAGATGAATTGATGCAGCTACTTCAGCTTTTATCCACATCTCTTCGACTATCTTAGATAATAACCACTTAAATTGTCAACAAGATAGTCGTCAAGGCCATAATCGAACTTCTCATTTGTTGGTGCAGCATCATTTGGAGTGGAATAAATATTTCCAATACCAACCATCGCATTAATCTTAGCCCTTCCTTTGAGATAGCGCTTGGTGTCAGATGGGAACTCTGCAGTAAGCCTTCCCATCTGCTTCCGCAGATCAGCAACTGTATCATTTGCTGATTTCGCCTTCACACTTTTCTTACCATCAACAAGCTTCAATTCCAACCTATACAAGGCACAAGCATCGCATTTATTGATCTCATATTCATAAAGGTGCCACTCAAAATGGTTCAGTGGCTGTGGATCCATGTAGTATGATCTCTTCAGTCCTCCAAATTCATTCATGACTTGCTTTCTTGACTCATGCCAGCCACGCCCGCTGTAATCTGGCAAAGACCTCTGCTTTCTGTTCCCACTTTCAAATGCTCTTCGAGGCTTATCAAAAAAGAGCCACTCCCTAATTGTTTCACCATCAAGAACTGAAAGATCAAAGAGCTCTGCAATCACAGGAGAAAATTAATTAAAGTCAGAAAAGTCATAAAGAAACTTGTGTATGACTAGAGGATATATTCTGTTCCCACTTATAAAAGTTGCCACTAGAACCGAGTAAAGCAATATTGATAAGATATACCAGGAGCATTCCATGGAGACTTTGCAGTTGCAGCTCCCTCACATTCTGGTATACCCACATCTTTTCCTTGTGCCTTTGCACTGAGAGCAGCAAAGAGCAGACAATCCTTTAGGCCTATGCCACCAGGTCGTAGAACTGGGCCCATTCCAGGTGGCCCTTCATTCATTGCTAAAGCAGCATGAAAGCTACTACAGTAGTCCTGACACCAGTCCAATCCTTGAGTAGGCCTTGGACAATCCCAAAGTGCACACTTTGGACCTAAGTATGCAGATGGTGGTGGGCATATACTTAGCAGATAGCTAGAAGTATGAGGCATGGAATCCTCCCCACCGAAACCTGTACCATTTAAACCCGTATAGAAGTTCTCAAAATCCTGATGCAAATCAAACTGATGGTAATTCAATTGAGTAGCCCCTTCCAAGTTGTTAATTGGCAAGGCCCGGACTCCGGAAGGCGAGTCTTTGCAATCACCAACTAATGGAAAGCCACGCTCATGATGCCCCTGATTCACTCCATAACCCTGCAAGAACAAATTGATCATAAAACTTACCTGCGAATGCCTTTTTAAACATAATAACATGCCAAAGAAAAATGGAGACTGTTAACATTCATTATATATAATTAAGAGAAAAACTAAAGGACGTGAACTTCTGCTCTAGGGAAAGATAATGTTTTAATTTACAAGTATAAACAAGAAAAGGTAAATTAAAACCCCAGTAAGGTCAAACCAAAATCTAGGTACGAAAGTAGACATAAAGCTGAACAAAAGGGAAAATACCCATTAACAATTAGTTTCAACTTTTACCATGTCTTCTAATTAAATAAGGAAAATTTCATCAACTTCTCAAACTTATCATTTCTACACAACAAAGCAGCCCAGGAGCACATTCCAAGGCACGTAGGCCCTATTAGGCAGAAGTTTGGTCCCCCTTATCTGCGCACATGGTAATTCCATACTGCATACACCCCAAACCACGTGACTAACATGCCAGGCTTAGTCTTATCACCTATGCCTGATGAAGTAAGACGGTAGTAAACCAAACTCAAGAAACATGTTTTTAGTGCAACTGTTACGCAAATTCTAGAAGAAAATGAAATGCAAAGACTCCAAGGACAAAAAGAAATCACCTCCTGGAAAGCAGCAGTATCTCCTACTTGCAGGCTTTGATCATTGGGTTCAGGTTTTGGTGCAGCTTGTGCACTAGTTGCATCATCTTCCTCCTCACAAAGCTGCAAAAGCCGACCAATGTCCGATGAAAATGAACCAAGACTCCCATACTGCAAATCACCATAAGATCACAATTCATAATCAAACATTTTAGACAGTATTTTCAACCAGTTAAGATCAAGACTCATTAGCATTTGTCTTAGTTACAATTTGTAACCACCACACCAAACCCTTTAAACAACATACAATCTACTACAACACATATTCGCACACAATCACACTCCTATAAATGTATACAGGTGATTCAAATGAAATTTATATGAGCAGTGCTAACTTGTTGCAATGAAGATGCTGGAGAAGGTTCGTTGAGCTCAGCTTTCCATTCACGGAGCATCTGATGGACTTGCTCCTCAAGGACTGCGACATCGACGCTGCGGCTCTCCTTCCTGGCAAACTGCAGATCCAATAACATTCCCTGCAGATCATCCACCCGGATTTTTGCCCTGTCCTTGAAGAGTTTGTGGGATGCTAACTTGCAGTTGCTTTTCGAACCTTTCCCCATTAAAATAAACAGCCCTCAACAACCCCCACCAAAACCCTGCAATTCAAAGCACAATAAAACAGAATTTAAGATCAACACAGATGAAAATTTAATCCAATTATCATTATTTTTATTCGTCAAATTTTTAACTAAATTTCAGTTTACAACTAACAATAGTGGAAAAAGAAAAAGAAACACAATTATCCACAACGTTTATAGCACAAAAAAGTCCCTACCTTCAAATAAAAACAACCGAGATTGCCAGAGATTGCCACAATTATGTAACTCCGATTAAAATGAAACCAAGCTAGAGAAGATTATTGAAATCATGATAAATAAAATTAGAGCATACCCAGATAAACTAAGCTCCCCTAAACACAGAAAAATTAGAAAATAAGTGGAAAAACACACCAAAATCTGAATTATAAGTAAATAGGAAAGCAACCCAAATTTCCAAATATCTTAAAAGAGAGATTAAAGGAAGACAGCATGAGATCAAAGGCAAATTGTGGAATCAAAAGAGATGGAAATAGTTATCTTAGAAAGCTAACCAGAGATTGCCTCAACTTTGTATGTAACAAGCTCTGAGACAAAAGTAGAGTGAGAGAAATAGAAAAACAAAGTACTGGGAAATTGCAAGAAAGAAAGAAAAGTAAATATTGGATTAAATAAAACATGCAACTGTTCTTTCATCCAAAGAAAAATACTAAAAGAAGAGATGCCCCTCACCTCTTTTTTTTTTTTTTTGGATTTTTGCTTTTTGAGTTTATGGTTTTATTTTTATTCCCAAATTCCAGACAGGAAGGTTCTTTCATTTTCATTTTCTTTTTTTTAAAGGAAATTGAAATTTGTAAGCATTTGTGACAGTGACAGTGCTTAAGGAAACCAAAGGAAGATAGAAATGAAGAGAGCACTGTGTCGTAATACAGTAACGCGGCAAAAGTTAATTAGCTTCTGAATACACTTTGTTTTTTTTCACATCTATTTTTTAAAATTATTTTTAGATAAAATTACTTAATATTTTTTCTCATTTTAATTTAAAATTTTTTCATATAAATATTATATAAATTTTATAATTTATGAAATTTTCATATCCGATGAATTATATTTAAAACTTTTAAAAAAACAAATAAAAAGAATTCATATCATAAAAAATTTTCATATATAAAAAATAATTTGTTTCAAATAATTATAAGTTCATTAGAAAAATTATGTATGTGGATCTTAAGATTTTTTTTAATTTAAACTTTCTATGATAAAAACTTAAAAAAATTTATAAATTTATAAATTTTAAAAATTTTAAAATCTTTCAAGAAATTTGAAACTTAAAAGTAGAAAGAGATTTAAAAAATTATTAAATAATTTAATTTAGGAATGATTTTGAAAAGGTATGAAGAGAAAAAAATAGATTATGCTTAGAAGCCCCTTAATATTATCATGGATTGGCGAATAGAGAATAATTTAGTTTTGCTATATGCCCTCTGTTTTAAGAATTATTACACTGACGCCCTCGTCAGTTTAGCAGAAGAGCTATGGCAAACAAAGAAGTTGACTCTACACAAGAGGCGGTTGCTCGTTGCTCAACTTTTTTTTTGGGTACGGCTCGTTGCTCATTTGGTAGTTTGGTATTGGTTCCTTTCAAAATTTATACTGTATCATAATGGCATTTAATGATTCAATTTTTAAACGATTAATCATAAAACGACGTCAAAACACAATAAATATCCTTTTATTTATGTTGTCAACAGGTATAATCAAGTCGAATCGAATCAAATAGTAAAAAATTTGAGTTCAAATTTAATTTATAATTTGAAGCTTGATACTTGATTCAAACTCGATCGAATTTTATTTTTCAAGTTCGAACTCGATTCGTGATTGAATTCGAGTTACTCAAATTCGTTCGATTAAATTTGATTAATATGTAAAAATAAGCTCGATTCGTATACTCGATAAAAATTCAATTATTCATGCTCAAACTTGAACTCGAACTCGAAATATTTTATGAATTAACATAATAAAAATATATTTAAATATAAAAATTCGATTAAGCTCGCGAGTTACTTGAGTCGGATATAAGAATATTTGAATTCGATTCGATCGATAAGTCGAGCTACTCGAACTCGAGCTCGACTCGATAATAATCGAACTAAATTCGAATTTTTTTTTATTCGAACCCGAATAACTTACAAATACTAATGTATCATTTACACCTTAATTATTAAAAGAAGCCTTAATTATTTAATGATCATCATTTCCATTATTTCGACTTCAAATCAAATTCATGCCATTTGACATGATAAAACATTGCAATAGAAGATGTTTTTTACGATAAATTTAATAATTTAAAATATAAAATATAAAATTATATAATTTAAAATTTTAACAATAATTATATATAAATTTAATAAAATAAAAAAATTCATATTTTTTTATTGATATAAATTATTATATGTAATTTTTATATAAAATATAATACATATATATTTTAATATTTTATATGATAAAAATATTCTAATTTACGTTACATCGTCAGAATCTCGAATTTCCATCAGACCCAGTGCCCACATAGGTCCTTATAATAGATTTTCCCATCAGACCCTGTGCCCACTAAAGTCTTTACAATGGATTTGATTTGAATTCGGTTCACTTCTTAATTGTTAAGGTAAACAAGAGCAATGCACATGGCTCATAAATTGAACGAGATTTAACCTCTTATTGTTGTTGGATTTTGCTCAACTCATTCATGAAATTCGCTTTTAAAAGAAAAAGAAATGTGAAAGGGATGATCCCTTTTGTAGGGGTAAGAAAGCGAAAGATGAGTTGGACAAGAAAGGCATAAAGACAATCCCCACTACCACCCACCAGATTCCTAGTTCTTTGCGGTTTTGATGCCTTCTTTCATACAGATGAGACTTTAAAGATAGCTGTGCTTTTTTTTCGTTTTTTTTGTCAAGAAAAGTTTAGAAGTAGGAGAGATTATCCCATTTTCAAGGCCAAGCAAATTGCTAACCCACAAGGAGATTTACGGATCTTTCTTTCAATTTTTTTTTTTAGGATTTTTTGGACTTACAGATAACCTACCAAGAAGAGACTGTAAGGGTTTAAACCTAGACACTTTGAATTTAGATCGTAAACTTTAACCACTTGCGCCAACCCCTATTGGCTGTGTTCAAGAATAGAATGATCACTGTTGAAGATAAAGCAGTCCTTTAGCCATTGAAATGGCTCAAACTTTGATCCTAGACGTTATAGGCCTTCTATTATGTAGAAAAGGAATGCTACATAAAACCAACAAACTTTCAAATATCAAGACTATGCCTCCACAAAGTTCCAAAATAGATTGGCTACTGTCATTTGTCCAAATTCTGAAAGCACCTAATACTTATCAGCAAAGTTTTAAGCAAAAATGGACCCATATAAACCCTTCCACTTCCACCCCCAGCACATCCATGTGCTCTTTGTGTGGCTGAGAAAGAGTTCCGTAAAGAGCAAATCTGTTCTAAAGATAGGTTAACACTCATAGCTGGCAAAGCTATAAACATTTCAATTCATAAAAGTAAATTTTAGAATGATGTATCTGTTTAAACTTTAAAACTAGCACACCATGCCAACTGACTTCCTTGAATATAAACTTATTAAAGCAACTGTGATACAATCTCTATCCTGATACACTTATTAATTTTGGTTGTATAATCTTTCAATGGACCAGGTGAAACCAGAATCCAGACCAAAAAAGATGGCCCAATGTGGAAAAGAATGAAAAAGGAGAATGATTCCCTTGTTAGGGGCTGACCAGGGAACTCTATAATAGATCAGAATTGGAATCAAAAAGTAATACTTAACTTATTCGTCAAGTCTCCCGTTAAGATCAATCAAGCTGGCTTTGCCAAATTTATGCCCTCCGTATTAGCATGTTTAAATTTGAAAATACCACTGAGTCCCTGTCGTCTAGCAAGTTGCTCCAGTTCTTCAAGTTTATGCCTAAGAAGTTCCACTTCTGTTGCTAGGTTCTCATTTCGTTGCTTTATTACCTGAAATAGCAGGGAAGATTGTGCTTGTGAATCAGGAGGCATTACAAATCAATAATTCCCTGAGGAACAGGAGATGCAAAATACTCGATCACCCTGCTCCTTTCATGCATAAAGAAACTTGTCTAGATCTTCATGCATAAATAAGTCGTTAACTTAAACTCCAAGTTGGCTCCACAAGGTCAAGCATCATACTAATATCACCCTGAGAAAGAAGCAACAAAAAAAAAAGAAGGAGATTGTTCAATGGATACCTCCAATTCTTGTCTGCGTACTTCCTCCTTTTTGGCTTCTGATCTAGAACTTCTTTGAACCTCAAAGATCAAGAGAGCTCCTGCAACCTATATACAGACTCGGACATGTACAAATTCAGAAACCTTCATGTGTAGTATATATAGAACAGAGTGCATGTATGGTAAGTTTGTTGCATGAATTTCATGCAACAACATTAGATAGATATTGCCACTTCATACACGCATTACGTGCAAGAGTAATGAAGTCAGCTATCACCTCAAACCCACCTAAAGGAGCAGAAACGCTTCATGATTGCTAAGTTCCACTAGTTGTTACACCTTATGCAGCATACACATTCTACTCGAGGGAACAGGTGATATATCTATAATATAGGTAGATTTGCAATTCACTAATGATGCTTATAATTTAAGTGCAACGTAACTCATGTGATTGATATTGTGCTTCAAACGACTGCTCCTAAGAAGAAGTAAGATCTCTACCAGGCTGAGCATATGTCTAATTCAAGGTATTGGTTGGCAGTACTATTTGCAGAACACTTTTAGTTCAGGTAGATATACAAAAGCATCAACATACATGCAAACACAAATATGTGCCAGTGTAAAACATTTTTAGTGCTGTTTCCAGCTTGATTCCCTCTTCTTCTCATTACTTGTTCATTTTCCTTTTTTTTCTTTTTTTTGAAAGCAGATAACAAAAAGCTTTGATGGCTGCATCATCAATCTAGTAATCTACAACATGCAAAAAAGAAAGAAGTTTTGGAGACTTCTAGAAACAGTAATGAGAAGAATAGCTAGGGAACAACTAATACCGCAAAGACAAAAACTTCCCCAATAAGATCTACAGCAGCCTGAACAGCTTTCTCCTCATCCAAGGGGCGAATCTCCACATCAGTTGCATGACCATAAATACTTCTTTGCATTCTTGTTGTGATTCGATGGTTTGCCTGGTTCCATTAATTAGCATTAGGATCACCCTATTGGAATCCATTAATTTTCAGCAGAAACTATACAATAGTATTATAATACAATCTTGATCAACAAGTTGGGAAAAATTAGCTCAAATAAGAAACAAATCTTCACAGCTTAATTTTTTCTTTTTTTGGTACTTGAGGGTACAAGGGATTAATCTTTGGTCACTCAACTAAGAGTCCGGCACTCTACTGACAAGTCACATGCTGTTGGCACTGAATTTTTGAAGGACATTGAAGGGAAAAAGGAAAATTATTTAAGGAGTATCAGAAAATGAATGTAAGGAGAAAGAGATAGATTACATCATCTGAATCAAATCTATAAACATAATAGAAATGCATGTTTGAACATTGTTGGCAGTAAAAAATTAGAAATGAAACACTACAGATTCCTAGTGATTCAGTTTGCTAAAAAGAGGTTAAAAAACAGTAATATATCGTTGATTCCATTCTTTAACAGAATGAATCATCGATTTAGATGACACTTCTGGCTAAATATTTAAAATCAAGAATGGTATAATCTATTACTCATAGCTATCATCATCCCCTTCCTTTGGCATTTTAATTGCAATTATTTTCTTTATTTTTGTGCAAACCATAATATTCCCAATCTCAAACTGCAAAATCTGTAGATTTCGCATGAATGTTAAGCTATTTTTTACAGTACAGCATCAATGAAGCTGTTGTATCGTGATGTATTCTAAGATTGGTGCTAAAATGTTATTGGAAATTAGAAAAAAGAAAGACCCTTTTTTTAGCAAACAAATTAAGGGGTTAGCCATAGCCACCCATATGAAATTGTGAAGAAAGCGGCAAAGAGTAACGAAACATAACAGGCAAATCTAGTCAATATGTACCTGAGCAAAGCTAACGATGAACTGTTGGAACCTGGGGGCATACCCAGCCTGGCGCTTGAGCCTATTAGCCACCGGTTTACTGAGAGTTTTTAAGGCCAAAGTTGCTAGTTTTAACAGTGGGAGTACCATTTTTATGATCTGATTATTCTCTATGAACTAAACAAACAGATAAAGGAACGGGAAAACTTACAAGCGACAAAGAGGAAATGGGTGATGGCTGCTGGGTTTGAATTCGTCAGGCTTTGAGTTTCTTGATAAGAAAGATATGGGATTTTTTTTTTTTTTCATTTAATGGCTTTGGAAGAAGGCAAGTCAAAGGAAGGAGATGCCGTTGGTGAAATGGATTGTCGTTTTCTTTGCTTTTTTTTTTTTTTTAATTTCACATAACCGATGACTGCTCCCACCTCACTGGGCGAGTCCAGTTCTGAATGCATGACATTTCTAGGTTTGATTATTCTAATTCCTATTCCTGCAGGAGATTGGTCGGCTGGAACTCTCATGTCTCAAACAAAGTCCTTCTGGGGGGATGTACGTATTTTTAACATAAAGTTCAAGTATTATAATTGTTGTTGATATTTTTTAGTGTCTTAGCTAAAGAGGAGGAAATGAGGTTTGGGAGAAAGGTTATAATCTACGACTAATTCGGAACTACCATTTATAAACGCGTTGCGACGCTTAAATCAGTATATTGTTTGAAATATATTATGCAAACAATGATTAAACCGCATTTAATGATTTTGATATAAGACAAGTTGATGACTCATTTTGGACGTGTGTCGTCTGGCAACCCGGCAGCCTCGGTGCACTATTTGAGCTCCGACTGTTAACTAGTTGACTTGACCGTAAGAATAATCTCAGGAAAATTAATTCCTTTGGGGTCACATATGATCCTAACCTGATAATACTTGATTCTGAGTTCCATTCTCTTTTTAATTTTACATGCCCTCCCCCTCCCCCCCCTACCCTCATTTTACAAATCTCAAATCCTGAAAGAACCATTATGGTACATCCGAGAGTCATGGAAAATGCAACCACAACATTTTAACAAGAAGAATTTCTCAAATATTGCAAAACCAACCATGCTTCAATTATATCATTCCGCATGGAAGTGTTGATAAGAACTTACAGCCGAAAAAATTATCGGACTGCGAAGCATTGTAAGCTCATTGTGCAACAGATGCCAGTAAAAAAAAACTCAATGCATACTATATATTGCAAGCCTTTAAGATCTAGCCATAGACGATTAAAGAAGAAACACCACATTGCAAAGGAGAATTAAACAGTAAGAATGACATACGCCTCTCTTACAACAAATTTTTGAAAACCCAGAAGAACACAATTTTCTTTCTTCAGCATTTGTCAGATCCTAGTTTTTCAACACTAGAGATTACACCAACCAATTCCTCTGTATTCCACAAGTCCCAGGGTTATTTCCAAATATCAGATCCCTCTCTCGTGTATGAACATCATAAGAATAGGCCTTCTCTCCAGTCTAAGTGAAGAAGACCAGAATGAATAGAATAATGAACAAAACTAGCAAAAATAATATCATCATAATCTGGCCCTTAGCACTGGCCTTCTTCATAACCATAGCCACTTTTTTCTGCAAGGAAAATGAAAGAATTTTCATAAATCTAATAATTCAAGAGAAACAATGCAATTAAAGTGCAGCATATTCAGCTCAAGTTGGCATATAAGCACAAAAGACCAAATATTTAATTTTCAGTTCATGCATAGGATTGTTTATATTTGCAAAAATACGTTGAGAGAATTACCTGAACAAAATCCAGCCGATTTGTTGTGCTGTCCATTTCTGTACCCAACTCTTCTATTATCTTCTCCTGAAACAAGGGATTCAAATATTAGCATATCAAATGGACAACATTGATCCTATGCTGAAATTGAACAGAATGACTACAGTAGAAATTCGTTCACGAAAATGTAAAGATAAAAATATATGTTCTTTAAAACTCATGATAAGTTAGAGATTATAATAGGTGAATTACAAGGAAGATCATGGGTAAGTACTCACCTGTGCAAGAAGTTCTTCATGTATGGTAAGCCCAACACCTCCTATTCTCTCAACACTCGCACTGAGCTCATCCAACTCCTCATCCTGCTGCCTACAACCACCAGTTGATAACCAAAAAAAAGAAAAAAACTAGTAAAATTGGAGAAGGAAGCATGTTTATGAGAATAGTAATAGAAACAGGGTAGAGGAAGTCAAGAAAACTCTACTTTATAAGAAGCATTTGTCTATCTGATTCCGATGCTATAAAGTCATCATTGTATTCTGCACTATACTGGTTGGATCTATCTGGCTGATGAGAATTTGGCAGTCTCATTAATTCTCGGCGCATTGCACTTGGGGTGTTACCATTCTCTTTTCCAGATACAACAGCTTTCTTCACATTGCCCACCTGATCAAACAAAATACTCCTTAAAGGGCATCCATTACAGAAAATAATAATAATAATAATAAGACTAAGATTCACCGTGTGTTGAACTATCTGAATTTTGCATAGTTCAGAAATTTCATCAGTTATAATGACAGGACAATGCCGCCAATGCACCAATTGCGAATAAATATTACTGAATATATATTCACTCTTTAAAAAAATGTAACAACTACAAAGATGATACCTGAGTACGAGCAGTGCTGGTCCATCTCCTCCGCTTTTCAAGTTCTGCTTCATCAATGCCATACCAAGAAGGATCTCTAGCTGCCACCGAAATTGCTTTGTCCAATTCATCTACCTTCCTATCAAGAAAGAAGCATTTTCAGCAGTTGCATATTGGATTAAAACTGTTCAATTAACCCATAAATATAATGTCAAACACATCATCCCAACATAATTTTATTCCCATTTCAAGGATCCAATCCAATTAAAGAAAGAACACTTAATTTGAATACCTGCCATTCGATGCTCTCACAATTAGCAAGTAGCTCTTTTGTGAGATGTACTTGGTCACCACTGTCAGGAGGAATCCTTTCCCATTGGTGAAAACTTGATTGCAGTTTATCAATCTAAACCAACAAAAAGAGCACCAAAATGTCATCTAACGGAAAATCCCCAAAAAAAAGACAACTACAAAGGAGATCAAATAATCTTTTTTCACAAAAAGGGTTGCACAAATGAAAAGAAAAGACCCAACTTACAGATTCTTGAATCTCTTCTTTGACGATGTAAAATGGATCATGAGCTTTAGACATATTGCAAGTAATGAAGTAACTTATATCCTGTAAACATTCAAAGAACAATTCTTTAGCGATAATTCAGGTAAAGAAAAAAAGCATTAACTTTTACTTGGTATCTTAGTTCCTACCTTTGCCACCGATCTGAGACAAACCCAGTAAGGAAGATCGGTGTTTCCACCGTTTGAAAGGGTAAAATCACGAAGCAAGAGATACGATTGAAGGGAAACAACCCAAAAAAATGGCAATTTCAGTTCTCTGTAAGCCCTAAAACAGAGGAGAGGTCCAAGAGGAAAGAATTCATGATTTTGGACTCAGAGCTTTTCTCGTTTTTTTTACTTTTATGGGCTGTCTGGTTTGACAATTCCAGGCCCTCTTCTCTTTTGTGGGTTGTCCATTATAACCCACCATTTGAGCCTTCCAACCTAGCGTTTGAAGGAGTCATTGTCTTTTGTTGGCTTTCACAGTTTTGCTGCCCCCTTTTCTTTGTCACGCATCAAAACAGAACAATAGTTGAAGTTGCATATATCATATGCAATTCCCTATTATGATTATAATTACTCCTAACAACGATATTTTTCCATCTTTATCACATGACATTCAAATTCGAAATGAATATTATTCAAGTCCGAATATTTAAATATTTTTATTAAGAATGAATTTGATAAATAAAATTTTATCAATAGCAATAGAATTCCAAAGTCATAAAATTTATAGTAATGGAGTTTTTATTATCTCTTCCAAAATCTAAACCTCACTCCCAAGTTGAGCTTTCAACATTTAATTTAAAAAAAAAAAAAGTAAAAGGTTTCTTCTGAATTCTGATATGTCCATGGATAAGAACGTGGAACTTGCAGTGTACTCGGATAATACAAGGAATCGACATGAGCGACACCGTTTTGAGCAATTTAGTCTAGTCTCGTGGACTGTGGAGGTGGCTCTGGGAGTTCGCGTGCTGTGTGCCAACAGTCCGTCAGGGTCAGGCTCAGGCTCCTCCCTCCCGCGTCCCAGCCTTTGCTTTTGATTCCCTGACGCTACAAATGCATAAACCTTAATGGGAAGCTGACAGCTTCTGATCAGACAAAGACCGGTCTAGTTCCTTTTGGCAAGTCTAATGTGGGTCATACCCACCAACATCGTACGCCACATGGTCCATGCAACATCTTGGGATAAGAGTGCGTGAAAAAAAAAAAAAAAAACGCTGTGGGAGAGAAAGTTGGGGATTCTCGAGGAGCAAGAAGAAAAAGCTTGGAAACAAAACACAGTTAAGACCGAGCAGGCAAGCAGCGCATTGGGGCCGCGGGAAGCTGAAATGGCGATACTGTCCTCCATCAGATGTTGAAACCTTTGAGGAACCTACACGTGTATGGTGAAGAACGAGGCAGAGCGTAGGTACAAAAGAGCATAGGGGCGCGTGCGAGGATGAGTTGACATGACTAAAGTACGGTGAAAGGCTGAGACAAACGCAGAGAGAAAGGGACGCAGAGGGGGAGCTGCAACCCGCGTAAAAGTCGAGGGTCTCTCTGCAGAAGAAAACAGGCCTAACTTTAGTCATTTGGGCCCCCTTCGCTGCAACACATCCCTATTTCCCCACCACTCCCACGCGCCCCCATAGGCTTTGCTTCAGCCTCACAACCAACCAAAACATAATTATGAACACATTTCCTCCATTTCAAACTCACTTTAGAGTAGTATCTTTGTCTTTCCCCTTTTTTTTTTTTGAGAAAAGTGTCTTTGTCTTTTGTGATAACTTTAAGTCTTTAACAATCTTTACTTTTTGCTAATGTAGTTTTGAAGATTTAATCAAGTCGAGTTGATATACTCAAAGAAATTTTACTTCGTCAATTAACTAACTCGTTACGGCATGAATAAGTCGATCGTGTTTAAATGGAGAAGGACAGAAGACATTGCTGTCGAATTTCGATTTATATATCCATGCTACATAACTCAACACAGGTGAATTCACATGTTATTTCAAATCAGACCTTTTACTATCATGCACTAGTACTAAGTTTTTTCGGGGGTTCGTAAAAATCGAATTATATATGCTTGCATGAGAAGTAAAGATGACAAATGAATGAAATATCAAACAAGGATATTCGAGGAACGTGGGGTGGTTTTATAATGTGATGGGAGTAGGACAGCAGAGAATCTTGTTTGGGGAAAAAGGATGCAACTTGAAGGCAGCGAAGAGAGGGCACTGAGGTAGGGTCATGTAGATCGGGGAAGGAGATTGTTCAGCTGAAAACTGCATACTCCATAACCATGCAGCAGAGATGCTTCAGCTTTAGGTTTGCTGTTGTTTTTTCTATTCTATTTTTGTGATGGTCTTGGCTTCGTCTTGGATTCTTGGTCCATCCCTGGCTGATCTTACATGCAGGGTTTTGCATATCGTCCGAGAAAAACTGTTCAAACTACAGAAAATTTGAAATTTTAGAATCCCTTACATATTAGAAAAGCTAATTCTAATACTTTGTCTTAACAAATTTGACAAATGGTAAGCATTAAGGAAGCTTGATTAAAATTAATTAAAGAGGGAAGGGTAATAAGTGGGGGAGGGGTGAAAATATAGTGCAAAACTGCAGAGAGTTGCGTATGAACTAATCTAGGCAATGAAATCAAAGTGATCCAAAAAGCTTGATACGTTTTGTCTGTAACATGACAACATTACTTTTTTTGTGTTCGGAATGTTCTGATTTGGCTGGTTAACCCACGCTAGAAAAAGCATAGTTTTGGTTAAACCAAAAGAAATGGAATATGTTACTTTTTGTCCTGCCGAATTATATACGATTAATTTTTTTATGTATATTATTAATGTAATTTTTTAATTTTGTAAGTAAAATTAAAAATACTTTAATCAAAAGAATAAGAAATGTCCTTAAAAATGGAAATGATTGCATTTTTTTTTTCTGTGGATAAATTGAGTCTAGAAATTGAACTAGAAATCAAATCTTAAACATCATTTGCAATTCGCCGATAAAAAGTAACATATTCCATTCAATTTATAATAAAAAATAATAAAAATATATAATTTGATTCGATTCAATTTAATTTTATTTATTTTTTTATATCTCGATTCAAAATTGAATTTGAATTTATTATATATATTTAATATCTGAATTTTATTCGAATAAAAAAATTAATTCAAATCAAATTAATATTACGATTTTGAATTAATTTTAATATTTTTAATTTTTTTTTGTTGCTTTCACTTTTCCATAATTTTAATAATTTAAAATGAAAATTTAAATAAATTAAACCTTGTTTTGATAGCGCGATGAGAGAAGAATTTAATCTTAAAATATAATTATGGTGCAATAAAAATTGTTTTCATCTTGATAATAAAAGACCCTTAAATTGATAGGGAAAAAATATTATTTTAGAATAGTTTGAGAAAGAAAAAAAAAAACTCTTAAACATATTATAAAAAATAAAATGATAAAAAAAAAAGGGGTTAGTACAAAAAGGAAAAAAAAAATGTTCTATATCTTTGTAGGCCCGAATGCCAATCTTCTTTTGGCTAATTTCAATACAGTACAAGTACATTGGTTTGATCAATCTCAATGTGAATCTAAGAACAACTTTATGGTACTTCCATTGTCGCTTCAAATGGCAATTATCAATTTGGGGAACCCACGCACAAGTAATTATTTTGATTTCGTTTACAATAAAATAATAACTCCTCATTACCAACCTTAGATGCGACAAAAATTTGACCAGTGGTTGTCTTAAAAACATCAGTCAAAAACATCATTATAAGATTTGGTTAAGATAAAATTTATATATAAATATAAATAATAATCATGATTAACAAAACATTATAATATCTCAAGCATTATTACTTTTTTTTTTCTTTTTATCCTATGGTGCACGTGAGACCTGGCACCATCATTTCTTACTCTTAAAAGCTCTGCTTTTGGATTCTCTTAAATAATCAATTAAAATTTAAATTTATATAAAATTTATCAAAATATTACGTAAATTTTATTTTTATAAATAATAAAATCTCACATAATTCTTAATTATAATATGATAATAAAAATTATAATTAAAAAGCTTGCATAATTAAAAGAGTATGAATAATGTTTATGGTTTTCCAAAAATATCAAAAACCCCTTGAAAGGGGTTATTGTTATTGGAAAATTTTTATAAAAAAATTGTAATTAAGTTGAGAATAAAAAATTATAAATTATAAATATATTAAATATTATTTTTAAATAATTACATAAAATAATTAAACTTAAACTATAATTCTTTTGAATATCTCATGACCCCTTTCCCTCTAAACATGATGAATTACAGGTTCGCTGATTAAGCGGTGCAATGCTTGCTTTGGATTTGTTTGTTTTGGATATTAAAAAGGTGTTTTGTTTAATTAATGAGAGCAGAGCCGCCCCAAAAGTAGGGCGGGCGCCCAAATCAACGGCAAGTCTAATGACGAAACAATCTTGGCGCGGTGGGTGGGACTGGCGCAAAAGATTTAAGCAAACAACTCATTTAAACAGCCTTAAACGCTCCAAGGTTGCGAGTGGCATTAGAAGCTTTCTTTCTTCTATAGGATAAAAGGCAGGACCAATTGGGGCATTGAATTGCAACCCGTTTTGTCCGGGTTCTCTGCGTAAGGCCGGCCTGCCCTGCCAGCCAGCTAGCCTGTAGACGTGGGTTGGGTTCTTTGCGATTGATGGCTCTGATAAAGACCTGCCCCTTGTCGTTACTGTGACGAATTTGTCCGTACACTCACACGATATGATAAAAAATAATATAAATACAAAATACAAAATAAAAATGATGTAAAATTTTAATAAAAATTATAAATAAATTTAATAAAATAAAAAATATTTTATATTTTATATTTATATAAATTATAATATATAATTTAAATATATAAAATTTTAATATTTTATATAATATAAAAACATAAATTATTAAATTTATTTTAAATTGATGCATCAGATTTTAACGGATCCCTTTGCTTATATTCTAACAACCTATTAATCTACACCCTAATCTTAGTTCATAGGATGGGTTTGATTAAGGGACTATCCGCTAATATTCCATAAGACCTTTACAAAAAAACTTTCCACGTGGCAATATAATAAAAGGAAAATGTGGTGGGAATTATTAAATATTGATTAAACTAGAGTTTTCATATGTGTTAGGCCCAACGGTCCTTTAAGCTAAATGTTTAAGATATTATTAAACCTCTTATACTCAACAAAAGTGGTGTATGTCTTAATTTCATCTCGTCTAGGAAAAAGACGATAAATACGTATTATATAATTATATAATTATGTTTATAAATATAAGAGTTATAAAATAAAAAAAAAGTAAGACTATCCTTACTCTTTTCTCTAATTATCATGATTACTTGCATAATCATTAATTTAGATTCCATTTGATTTTAACCTCACCTCTAATGAGATGCAATCGTCAAAAAAATTTATGTCCACCAATGTTAAAGTTGCATTTGAATGTTGAAGTAGTATCACATTTGCTATTTTTTTTTTACTAATGATTTAGTTTCAGTAAGCAAACATAGGTTTTCATATTTTTTTGTTTATTTTTTTATCCTTCATTTTATATTACAAAGATAAAAATATTCTTATAATTTAACTTTTTTATTTTTTATTTAAAATTTATAAAATAATTTTATTAATTTATTATAATAAATAATTTTATTTATTATATAATAAATAAATAATTCTAATTAATTTTATAAATGTTAAATAATTTAAAATTTTTATTAATATAACTTTTACTTTCATTTTTTTAATTATCATTTTCTGTTTTCAATACAATTTACCTCACCGTTACAATTATTTTTTATCAAAATATATATTTTATCACTAATTTTAATTTTATCGTTATAATATTTGATCTCATTACTATAATAATTAATATCATTTTTATCATTATTTTTAATTTTACTAAAATTAATCTTACTATCTATCTAAATAAACCTTAAGCATTGAAGTGCTTCCAAAATTCTAATTTCCACACTCTTTAAATTGTTTTTCTTCTTTAAAAGTTGGACATATTATTTTTTTCCGAGTTAAAACTTTTTTGGACTCACCTCATAAATACCTCAACAGTTACATATTTTGTGAGAGTTAGGCAACTGACATATATGTTTTTACCTCAAATATAAGCTACTCTACCTAGCTATCTTTTTTATTTACACAATCATTAATTTAAATATCAAAATGAGTTTCAAAAATTTAATTTTCATGTTCCCTTAATTATTATTTCCGTGAGGTACTCTTCTTAAGGATCCTTTTTCCTTCTAACTAGATTTATTTTTCATTTAATTTTCAACTAGAATAAACATAACCCTAAAGAGAGGATTACTTTTTTCTTCATTCATTGATTGATTTTCGTTACACCATATTATTTTGTTCTGTTAATCTTAGTGAAGTTGATAAATGCACTAGAGTCTAGTATTAAATGTACTTTAGCCCTTTTTTTTTTTTTTCGTCAACTTAAGTTATTGCTGATTTAAGAAAAGTTAAAAAAAAATCTTTTGAGTTGACCCGGATTGGAGCTGTTGATTAGGCAGGCGTACAATGTTTTGTCTCTTGTTGCAATAAACTATATAGAGCAAGTAGGATTTGTTGATAAAATTACAGTTCCAAGTTAATGTTTACAACTTAACGGGCTTTTAATTTGACATGGATTAACGGTTTTGTCACCCTAATCATCGGACTAAAAGGGTCATTCCTTCCATGATTAATACATTCCCTGATTGGTCAGGCAAAATGGTCTGCATCTCTCATTGCTTTTTACCCAAGAAAACAAAACCATAATGGCCTACAAGACTATGCATCAAAGTGAAGACTTTGGGCAGGCAGGAATCATGGAAGAGAAAATAGCAATATTGTAATCCTTATAAATATATAAGATTACAACTTGGCAAGTTGGGGGTCATGGTCGATCAAATCTAAATACCAAACTCTACCAAAGAAGCTGTGGGGTATAGGGCTTTTCAGACAGAATATAAGATGGATTCGAAGTTGGAAAAAGTTTGTCCCTCGAATAGAAAGGTTTGCTAACTCTGATCTCTATCAGGGTCTGGCTAATTTAGAGTAATTTCCATCCTGTTTTTCTGAGAAAATAAAATGTCAAATGCCATGAAAGTAACAGGAGAAAAAGTTTGAAGCTGTAATATTCAAGAAACGATGATGTTTAATTGGTGCACAAGAACACTCGATGATGTTTAATTGGTGCAAAAGACTACTTACTAATAAAAGAGAGGGACAAGAGTGAGATTTGGGTAAGTAGAGGGGGACAGATTAGACATCCGCCCGGAAATACAGGGAGCCGCACAGGAACCCTCAGCTTTCACCCTTTTTTTTTTTTTTTAATAATCAGTTGGTATTTTATATGTTAGAATTTAGAATTTAACAAACAAAACACCTTAATAAATGTAAAAACCACACTTAAAAGCTCTGTTAGTTCACATTACTCTCTCTTTCTCTTTCACTTTCTCTTTCTTTCTGCCACACACCACTCCCAGCACTTGCAGCATTGCAGCGGCAGCAACACTGCTGCTGCTCAGTTATCAGTCAAGAACCTCAAAACAAAAACATGAAAAAACCCTCTCACCGTAATCCAAAAAAGTATTATATTATATGATCTACTATATCTACATATCTAAGTATAAATAGACATTCATTTGATATTAATGTTCTTATTTTTAATTGTAATTCCACTTAATTAAAGCTCATAAAAGCTTGATTTGATATGTAAAAAACTAAAGCCCCATCGGCCCCTTTGGTTTTTTTTTTTTTTTTTGAGGGTCTTGACTCAACTTCTCCTTTTAGCAAATGCCAAAAAGTTGCACGTACTATGTAAAAATGCAGTCATGAAATGCCCTCTCCTCCATTACTCACTTCTTGTAAAAAAAGAAAAAAACCTTTACCTCACCTTCTAAAAAAAAAACCATTTCTTTCTAAGCATTTTTTTACTACCCAATGGCGGGTTTAATCGATCTGAACACTACAGAAGAAAATGAAACGGCGTCATCTGGTTCTTTATCTCCATCTTCGTCCTCAGCTTCCGTGTTAAGTGCTTCTGGCGCTCCTGGTTCTGGTTCAAGTTCAAGTTCTTCAGTTTGTTTAGAGCTTTGGCATGCGTGTGCTGGTCCACTTATATCTTTGCCAAAGAGAGGAAGTGTAGTTGTGTACTTCCCTCAGGGCCACTTAGAACAACTTTCCGATTTTTCCGGCGTAGCTGCAGCTTATGATCTCCCTCCCCACGTGTTTTGTCGGGTTGTTGATATCAAGCTCCATGTAAGCAACCTTGTACATGTTTTAAAAACTGTCACTCTATCTTATTTGTTCTATATATTGTCCTTGTCTAATGAGTGTTCTGTTGAGGTTTTGGGTTATGGGAAAATTTTTAATGATTTGTATTTGTTTTTGGGTTTTATTTTTGTGAAAAATATTTTTAAGGGGAGAGCTTCCAAGTTTGGGAATTTTTTTTTGAAAAAATGAAATTATGATTGTGGTTTTATGGGTTTGAATTCTTCAATTATGTTTGGTTTTTGGGTATTGCATCTGGGGTTGATTTGGTTTTCAAGAGAATTGGGTTTCATATGAAGCTAATTCTATGAGGATTGCGGAAATGTGACAGGCCGTGTGAAGTTGATTTTTATTTTTTTTACGGGGAATTAGTGTGTTGCAAGTATTTGAAAGTTACCATGTTTTTTTTATATTTTTGTTTTCCCAACAAGGCCTATGGGACGAAGGAGAGTGCTGCAGTGTGTGTCTATGTGCTTTTTTTTTTTTTTAGTATGAATTTGCTATATAACGTGCGTTTTTGTTGGCAGGCAGAGGCTGGAACAGATGAGGTTTACGCGCAAGTTTCGCTGGTTCCTGAAAGTGAGGTGGGCTTGATTCTAGTTTCTTGTTTGTTTGGTTAATGGCTGCTTATAAAAATATTAACCGTAAAAGATAATTCGTTTGGGCCAAGTTGCTTTAGCTTAAGTGTTTCATTTCCTTGAAACGGATGGAGAATGGACAATGACATCATTCTGAATTAGATTTCATTGTCCAATGATGAATTGAACTAAATTCTTAATTTTGGTGTGTCATTTTGTTTGTTAATGTGCTTGTTTTCTTCTCTTTTCGTTTTCATGGTTCTTTATTCTGGTTACCTCCAAAATTTTGTCTGATTTTGCATAAATTATGCCCTGTGAAGCAAATTGGGCAGAAGTCGCCGAAAGAGAAGATAGAGGCAGATGGTGAAGAGGAGGATGTTGAAGCAGATATCAAGTCAACCATTCCCCACATGTTCTGCAAGACCCTTACGGCTTCTGATACCAGTACTCATGGAGGCTTCTCTGTTCCTCGTCGAGCTGCTGAAGACTGCTTCCCTCCCTTGGTTATTCTCGTGCACTTTTCTCCTTATTTCATTTTTAGATTTATGTTGTTTATTTCTATGTATTTTTAGACAATTCATTATCTTTTGGTAAAACCGTCTTCTGCATAGCATTTTGAGTTTAAGTAGATTGGTATTATAGGATTATAATCGGCAGAGGCCCTCACAGGAGCTTGTTGCAAAAGACCTGCATGGCTTGGAATGGAAGTTTCGGCACATCTACAGGGGTATGCACTAAATATCAGATGCATTTTAATGTAACATTTTTCTAATGATGGATTTCCTCTCATGGAGCAAAGGCGTGTGGATCAGAGCCTTGATTAGCTGTTCATTTCTGTATTTGCTGTTGTGATATATTTTTGGTTTGGGTAGGGCAACCACGGAGGCATTTGCTCACTACTGGATGGAGTGCTTTTGTAAATAAGAAGAAGCTTGTCTCTGGAGATGCTGTGCTTTTTCTTAGGTTAGAAATTTCTCCTTTCGTGAAGTTTTAATTGAAATCCTATACGAATCTTATTTGGTGTCCATGACAGGGGTGAGGATGGGGAACTGAGGCTGGGAATCCGAAGAGCTGCTCAAATTAAAAGCAGAATTTCTTTTCCATCTTTGTACAGCCTGCAGTTGAACTGCAGCACTTTTGCAGATGTGATCCATGCTATATCTATGAAAAGCGTTTTCAGCATTTGCTACAATCCAAGGTATGTTGCTGCTCCAGTATATCTGACAAGCAATGTTCTACTGGTGCAATTTGAAACTTTGAGTGAACTTCTAGATTTTTGTGCAATGCTGGCCTTGGGGAGGTAAAATAATTTGAAATAAGAGAATGGTATATATAAACATTTAAATGGTTTTAGTGCTTGTAGCTTCATCTATGTGCAGCTATGTCTACTTTGATATGCTCATAAAAACTTGGTTCGAAGTGGTTAATGTTGGGCTGGCATTTTTCGCTTGTTTCCTCAATTTTCTGTTCACTTAAAGCCTGAATGACACTGTACCTTATTCAGACATCATTTTAATATCCCTAAATAATTTATAATGTCTAATACAAAAGAAATTTCTAAAAGTTATATATGGTGTCATGTATACAAACTAGCAACATTATTGGAAAATCTTCATAAGCTTGTCCTTTAATCCTCATTGTCATCATGGATTTCTAACAACGGGAAGTAGCATTTCTTTTTTACCCCAGAAAAAAAGGTTAAATAACCATTTGTTCTATATGTCACTGTAGTTAATTGCTTACTGTCCATTAGTGTTTACTGTACTTTTAAGCTTTTTGTTTGGTACAATTTGTATGTTTTACTTGTTATCATTCTTTCTTGTGCAAGTAGTCAAACGCTTTCTTGGTCATGCTCTGGAGTTACTTTATCAATGTGATCTAAAACTAAATTTTTTTATTGATGTCTAGCAGGGCCAGTTCATCTGAGTTCATAATACCAGTGCATAAATTCTGGAAGAGTCTCAATCATTCTTTTTCTGTTGGAATGAGGTTCAAAATGCGCTTTGAAACTGAAGATGCAGCAGAACGAAGGTGTGACCTTATTGAACCTGCAACTCTTCAGTTAAATTATATGATTTTTAGCCTAAAGTTGGGAGGAAAGACTTCCTCTACCATGCCATCAATGCCTTAATTGAATTTTTCTTCTTTGCAGATACACAGGACTAGTAACTGGAATCAGTGATATGGATCCTGTTAGATGGCCTGGTTCAAAATGGAGATGCCTGCTGGTATGATGGCAAACCTTGCTAATATATGATAAAATTTTGTACAAATTTCTAACAAAGTGTGCCTTTCAGTTATAAGCTTTTAATGTTGTCATAATAAAGTTACTGTCAAGGTGTAGCCTTAAGGTTATTATTAGGAAAATGGGGTAATGTGCTTACCCCTTATGATAGTAATAACAAATATGATAAGTCCCATAATTATTACCTTTACTTTTTAGCCTTCTTAATGGTCGTTGCTTGAAGTTAAGTTGATAGACCTGAAAGCATACTGTTCCATGCCAATAACTTTTTTTATTATATTATTCACGTAGACTTGCGGCATCTTGCTCAATATTTGAAGTAGAGACAGTGTGTATCCTAGTTTGGAATCAATTTCAATACTTTGCCAGGGAATCCTGCTAGCTATCCTGCAAAACAGAACTTTTGGTGGAGAATCGATAGTTACCTCTATTTTGTTGACTTCTAGACTAGACATTAAGCCAAATGAATGTGACAGAAAATAGCCTTGTTTGGTGCACCTTCTTGTTTTAGGGAAGTAATTGCTGTAATCACTCTTAGATGACAATTATTTAGGTAAGCATATGTGGAAAGTGCTTGTGTCATGGACTGTGCGCAAGTCCTAGCCCAAGAGGCATACTGGATCGTAGTTCCTGCCTAAGGTTGCACGGTTGCTAGGCTTAAGCTCCCGCCCATGACGCTTGCACTTTGAGTATAAGTATAATGTCGAGTTCATCAACTTGCAGAGCTTTACATGATTGTTTTGGATGCTTTGGTTTAATCTTGCCGGCTAGTAGTCTTTGTTAGACAATGTCTTCAAAATCCCCTCATTAATATATGATTTTATTGAAACGTTACTAGAGTTAACCTAATAGAGTTTTCTGGCTCACTTTTGCAGGTAAGTTGGGATGATATTGATGCCAACAGGCATAGCAGGGTTTCTCCGTGGGAAATTGAACCATCTGGTTTAATTTCTAGTACTAACAGCTTGCTCTCACCTGGTTCAAAAAGGAACAGGGTTGGATTGCCTTCAGGAAAACCAGAATTTATGATTTCTGGTAGGTTCTTCTGCATAACTAATTCTCTTTCCTGTGTCATGCAACATTATTTGATGTCGTCCTTCATTTTTCTAACAGATGGAATTGGAGCATCTGACTTTGGGGAATCTTTGCGGTTCCAGAAGGTCTTGCAAGGTCAAGAAATTATGGGTTTAAACACACTTTATGATGGTGCTAATTGTCAGAATATGCATCGGTCTGAAACAAGGCAGTGCTTTCCTGGTTCTAATGTTTCTGGTATTGCTGCAATAGGAAATGTTAGTAGAAACACATTGATGAATCCTGATATTTTCTATGAAGGTGTAGGCTTTGGGAAATCTTTCCGATTCCATAAGGTCTTGCAAGGTCAAGAAATTTTTGTAAGCCCTCCATATAGAAGAGGTCCAACTGCAGCTGTGACTAACAACAGTCGTGATTTCCCTGATACTGGTCAGTTGTCAGGAACTAGCAATAGATGGTCTTCCTTGATGCAGGGCTATAATACTAATAGTCATATACGACCATCTGTACAAGTGTCCTCACCATCTTCAGTGTTAACGTTCCAACAAACAAGCAATTCAATTCCAAACTTCAATCGTATTTATAACTTCAATAGCCAGGAAAAGGAGCATCCTGAAACTTATGGGGGAAAGTTATTGCCATCTTCAACTAGTGAACATGGTTCCTGTGTGAGGGATCAAGGAAGCTTGAATTCATTTGGTCAATCAAATGATTCTGTTCAACTTGGTGCTTCGCAACCTCTGGCAGCTCAACCAACATTTAGGACTAGTCAAAATCTAGCTTCCGCGTGTAAAAGTAGCTGCAGACTTTTTGGTTTCTCCTTGACCGAGGGAAGGCATGATGCTACTACGGAGAAAAACATGGTGCAACCAACCTCTTCATTAAGTTCTGGAGCCTTTTTACCTAGTATTTTGGAGAACAGCTTCACCCAAAGCCTCCAGCAGTGACAAACTCGGTTGGAAGCAATTGTACCAAAATAAGCAACCTCTATGCTGTTAGAGACATTCCTTTTGATATTGCATTGTAGTGTAGTCATGAAGTAGGGAGTGCAGGTCTACCAGTAAGGAGTTCTGTGGACAGGGATTTGGATGCCTAGAGCTTGATGAGTATGATGATGTGATTGGGAATCCCTAACATTTATCAGGCTGCTTACTTGATGGGAGAAAGGATGAAAAGGTTTTACAAAGTTCCCTAATTTGCATGTGTGTTTTCATTGCAAGAATCTAGCTTATGACCTAAAATTGAAAAATTATAATTATTTCTATGAAACGACTTGATTGCATCTTAACTGCGTTGTGGCTATGGTAAGGAACTCCTTATATTAACCTTTCGTGATGGTATTCTATTCAAATCCTACGCAGTTATATTCCATTGAGGTTGACTGATGAATCCAATCAGCTACATTGAAGATTGTCTTGTCCTCTGTTTTTGTTTTGTTGAAGTTTAAAATTTTCTAATCTTTGTTTTTCTCAGTCTTGAGCTATATGTTCCATATCAAGCATTCTTTAATGGTCCATAAAAAAAACCTTGCCTGCAGTCGTAGCAAGGTTTTTTTATATCATCACATCAAGTACTTATATTTATTTACCGCGGTTAAACTGGTTAATGGTTATGGCAGTGAGGTTGTTTGAGATGATCCCTGAGCGTGACCCTTGGCCATATCAATTAATAAGTTTGGCATAGAGGGATTCTTGCAGTTGGCTGAAGTCGAGGAAAAAGAAGTTGAACCTTAAACATTATGCCAGTCCAATAAAAACCTGTAGATATAGTATTAATTTGTCAATCTTACAATAAAACAGGATTAGAAACATTCTGATGAAAATTCCAGCATCCTAGAAGCTATACTGTCGCCAACATTGGTCCCTAAAGCAATATCTGGTTCGGCCAACTCCACTCTATGTCCATTATACAACATATGTTTTGCATTTGGATTGTTTTTCCAACTATAAAAGTGAGCTTAGGTACCAAACATGTTGGTATGAACATGTCGTTTCATGCTTGGCCCGGATAGCAAAAACTTTTACTATGTTGTCAAAGCCTAGCCAGCCAAGCCCATGGAGTTGATGGCCAATTTCACTGGACCAGTACTCCTCTTTAATCCCACAAAAAATGCCATATTTTTAAGTTCTATAACTTACGACATGAACGTATTGGCCCATTCTTCGTTTTTGTACATGCTTTTGGTCGAGTGACAGGGCCCGGAATGTGCTTTGGAGCGCCCTGACTGAAATCAAAACTCATGAATTGTATTAACAATAATGTCAAATGAAGCTTTGAATATTGTTCAAGTTACAAAGTGACAAAACAATTGAAAAGTATGGGGTGGTAGGGTTCGAGAAGGAGGAGGAGTCACGCCTCGCAAACCACAAAACAACTACAACAACGTGAGAAAACAGCAGCTGCAGTTTTCAAAAGCTTTTTTTTCTCTGCCCTTCACACTCTACCTTTGGGATTTTATAGTTTTCTCTTTCTAACTTACGCGCCTGCCTGCAGCTTTGAACGTTTGACTGTAGCTTGCTTTTGTTGAATTATTAATTGGACATTGAAGTTTCTCCCTCAATATGTGCCGATATTCTTTTCATTTGGTAAGAAATAACCAGTTCTTTACTGGCTTCCATGAAGAGTGGACTCACCGACCACCTCATTTTTTCAAAGTAAACACCCCCCCTATGTTGGAATCTTGTCTCTTCTCTCCTATGAGGTCATTTCCCATTCCTATAATTTCTATATTAAATTCCTACTATATAATAGTAATAATATAATTGAGAGTGATTCTTTAACCCCAAGTTTAGTCCTCTCTGATCTTTAATAAGACTAAAAACAGTATTTTCTTTTGGGACAAAACACAGCACCCAAGATTATTAAATAAAAGAAACATTAGGGTAACCGAGGTTGGCTCAATTAGTAAGATCTTCTTTAGGCTGTCGGATTTGATACATTTTATCTTAATTTGGGGATTGAGCAACCTATTTAAATTAGATTTTTTTTGCACCAAAAAAAAAAGAAGAAAGTTAGGGTAGTAATATGAGGAATATTAAATTAACTAGCAGCCATAAAACCTTTCCAAAGTTGCCAACTAGTAATAGCTGAATAATGTTTGAATCATGACTTCAATTAGTCATGAAAGATATAACTAAGAATCAAGTTGAACGTACCCTTCAAAAGCAAATTAAAGCAAAAAAACAGGATGAGGCAAAATCTGAGTATATATGAATGAAAATAAAAGAGAAGCTTCACTCTCTTTAATCCAAAGGAAAAACAAGAAACATGCAAGAAGAGACAACCCAGTACATAGCCTTCCCCAATGCAATAAAGTTTCCTCATCTATTTTTTGGAATTGTCTCAGTGAAAATACCATATTTTGTCACTGCACCAGTAGAGCACTTTCCTATTCTGTTCAAGGCACTTGTTTCTTGTTAAATTGCTACGGACGAGGAATTTGTTGGCTAATATTGATCTTCAATATGACCAAGGCTGTCTAATGATTTACTTAACCTAGATCTGTATTCTAATTCCCCTTAGACAAGATCAAATTAATTGAACCATGATTATTTTTCATAAAACTTCTTTGACTCTATTTACATGAAAGTAAATTGATGAATAATCATTCAATGAAAATGATTAAATATTTTATTTCTTATTAGATTACGCATCGAATTTGAGGCAAGAAGATGTGAAGCCATTGGAAAAAAGATGTCTTCCTATTGGTTTTTGCTAGACACAGTGCAGAAGATAAAGGCAAGGTCACGTTCAAATAGGGACCTAGCAATAGGTAATATAGTAACAAATGGGGAATCCGTCTATCAAGCAGTGACGCTCAGCAACATCACCCACAGTTCCCCCAAGGCCCTGACGTATCAGAGTGCGTAACTGGCGTTGACGTTAGTCTTCTCCCCATTCCCCCATTTATATATCTCACAATATAATACCCCCATATCTGCCTCAAAATTAAAAACCTACTCTCAGTTTCAATCTTTTCACATGTAACAACACATATATATTCCATGCAAGAGGCAATCCCTTATAAATCATACACGTCCGCCACCGCCGCCAGCGGCAGCCAGTCGCGGCTTCACAACTTTCTTGATGGTGCCAATAATGATGGGGGACTTGTTAGTGTAACGAAATTGGTTGTGGAGAATGCGGTGATAGTTTTTGGTAGACGTGGTTGCTGCATGTGCCATGTTGTGCAGAGGTTGCTACTAGGGCTTGGGGTGAATCCGGCGGTTTGCGAAGTGGAGCAAGAGGAGGAAGAGGCCATGCTTAATGAATTGTCGAGAATCAACAGTGAGATAGGTGGGGAGCGTGGTGGAATTCAGTTCCCGGCTGTCTTCGTGGGAGGGAAGCTGTTTGGTGGGTTGGATAGAGTTATGTCTACTCATATTTCAGGTGAATTGGTCCCTATTTTGAAAGATGCTGGGGCTTTATGGCTATGACTTATGTATCTGTTTACTCTTGTTTCTCTTCTTCTTCTTCTTCTTCACTTGTTGCATGTTGAGAATTTGAGACAGAGACAAGGGCTTCACTTCAGGATTGTAGATTGTTGAGTTTACTTTGCAGTTAGAGTAGATCATATAAAGTTTCTTTCCAATGAACTGAAATTGAATGCAAGATTCAAGGGTTGAATCATGATCAGGATATGGATATTCCACAGGCCAAACCTGGATTAGGACAGTCTTTAAAATTCAAGAAAATTAACCAAAACCAAACAAATCAACCATCCACCATGCGTTTGTCAAAGAATGTAAATTATTACCTAATTTATGCAAAGAAATTCTTTCTTTGATTTGACCTCAGATAATACCTTAATGCTGCGGAATAGTATTGTATGAGTCATGTTGCCTTAATTAAGTACACTTACCACAAAGATAAATTTATTTAAGGATGTGATAAGGAAAAAAATCATAAATTATTAGCATAAATTCCTATTGAATCAATCAACGATTTCTTTCACATAAAATACATTCTTGGGCTTAATTTGACAAATCATCCTGTTGATAATGGCACTAAGTGCCAAACATAGGTGCCTTGGCCAAAGAGGGGGATCGGAGTTAGAAAAAAGAAATCATGGTAGGGCCAGCTTTGTCTATTCTTCTTTTTCCATTTTCTCCCTTTCCCATTTTCCTTTTTGTTTCTGCAATTAATTAATTCAAGTTGATTAGGGCTGCATTTCGTATTGACAAGCTAGACCTAATCACATCACTTATGGTGCTTACTTCAAAAGAATTGGGGAGCGAAGGAGGATAGTTGTGCTCGTGAAATTATCCAGCAGACCACATGTTTTATAGATATAGTTTGTGAATGATCAAATGCTAAAGAACAAAGTTGATGATGGAGCAGATATTTATGGCCATTTCTTTCTCATGGCAGAACTGTAAAATTATAAAAACCAATAGTATCTGATCAAATATTTTACAAAAATTTGAGGGTATTCATCAAATTAATTTACCATATTACCAAACAAAATTTTAAGATTCTAACTGGATGAATTAATTTGATTAAAAGAAGGGTAATCTCCACTAAATGTGTTCAATAATGATCCCTGGCCATCCCAAAAATAGAAAGTGTGATTAGATAAGTAATTAACCGGGCAACTATATATAGTGGACCGTTACAGAAGTGGAGGACATATATGTATGGAAGCTGTGTTTTACCATTAATTTGGTCCATATGAATCACACGTGTTAGCTTAAAAACCTTTGTTTCTGCAATCGTTTCGGTTAATTTCCATGATTTAGGACCACCACCCATGTAATTCACCCCAAAAAGTGGCTTATCTTACTATGTCTTAGGCGTTCCTTTCCTCCCAATAGGTACCTTTTGCAACGCTAATTTGGTATATTATCTACATTCGTCGGATAAACCTAATCATATCATATTTCTTAGCCATCCAACTAACTAACTTGGCCACTAATTAGAGGCAAATTAAAGCTCTCCTCAAGTCAACTATTAACAGCCTTTTGTAACGTGAACGAGTTGATGATGACAATAGTTTAGAAACTTCCAATAATCATTGACTGTTCGACTTATGATTGTTGGGAAAGAACATCATATTCCAATAGTATTTTGCGTCCCTGTGATTCTGGGGCTGGGCTCAGACTCAATCAATGTCCAGTTGTTAATTTGTTATACCCATTTTTATATCTAATTGAACTAATTTCTGCGGTCTCGTGACTGGATAATTCACTAAGAAAACACCTTGCTGTTAGTAGTATTTGGCGACGAATAGCCTTAAGTATCCCACATAACTTTCATTGTATTAAGAATAAGCAAGTAATTTTCTTTTCATCCGTGTCTGAGACTGTGTTTATGTGCATACATCATACTGCATGTGCTTTTACAATGACAGAAATTAAGAGAGTATACTCATCAATTTCTTATTCATTCATGTTTGTTTGGCTTATGTTTACAGATAAGGCTTTTTTGGGGGAGAATGAGTGGTTCTCTTTAGTCCAAGAGATTGGAAGTATCCAATGGAACACGTCCGAAAAGAGCAGCTGCATCTGGCTATTGGAAAGCCACTGGGTCTGATAAACCAGTCATCACCTCTGTTGGATCACAATGTCTTGGAATGAAGAAAGCTCTTGTATTTTACAAAGAACGTCCTCCGAAAGGTGTAAAAACTGATTGGATGATGGTCGAGTATAGGCTTCCCCACCATTACTTTCTATCTCAAAGGCCCAAAGGAACGATGCAAGTAAGTCACTTTCTTCCTAAGTAAAAGACTCATATGCGACAAAGATTTGCCGATTAGCCACGAACTCATCATCAATCTCTTAAAATGATGACTTGGTTAATGCAAAAAGCTTAACGGCCAATCAGAAGGTCTACTCTGTAAGATGCAGCAGGGCTACATTGTTCTTCCTGCTGGAAACCACTAACAAATATACAATAGGCTTATCCCCAAGAATTCTCATATGCACCTTTAAAAAGTTTCAAAACCATTATGAAAGCATTTCAAACTTTCATCTGTGAGTCTAGCTTTAGTCTCTTCTGTCTTCTTGTTGTTAGTTGGATGATTGGGTTCTATGCCTTGTCCACCAGAAAAGCAAGGTTCCTCAACAAATTATAGGAGGAAGAAACTGTGATGGCACTTCTAGCTGTTCCCCTCCATTCACTCGTGGTACTTACAAGGTCAATCCGCAAGGTAATAAATATCAGCTTCCTGCAGAGTATCAGATGACTCCCCTGGAAAGCAAAGAGCTAGATGATCAAAAGGATCATATGGAGTTCCAAGAAGGCTCTCCAGGATAGTCACTCTCAACTCTTACTTTCAATTCTCAAACAGCCATAGATTCTAATGTAAGAGACGTGCTCAAATCCATTTAAAAAGTACTTTCTGTCGGAGCTTTGGATGAAATGCAGTTGCCATCACAACCAGAGAAAAGATTGTAGGCTTCCACTTCAAAGAACAGTACTGGCAAAGCATCCCCTTTTCAAATATCTTCTCCAGCCCCGTCCGTATCAGCAGCGCTTCCCAAATCCCAATAGTCCACCGAGGTTGAGGTTTCATATTTGTCGTCCGAAAATCTATGGTTACATTTAATAAGAAGAGTTGCTATCAATAATTTTTTTAGGTGTGATTGATCACTTAATAAATTTTATCATTTTAATGAGCTTCTAAGCTTAATTAAGGATCTCTAAAAGAATAAATTTTGGTCTATTAATTAAAATAAGATTTAAGAGTTCGGTTATATATGAAGAATGTTATAGCATTCCTACATACTCATCCAAAGGATAGTATCATTTTATTTTAAATTATCTTAATGTCTTGATTCTAATGGTTGTAAATTTTAATATTGAATATTAAAAGTAACTTCTAAAATTTTTCATCAATATGGTACAATTCTTAAAATTATTTTCTCACCTCAAAAGTATTCAGGAATCACATTTGTTTTCTTGACGAGACTTTATTGTAAAAAAAAAATTCATATTTTTATTTTTGTTTGATTTTTTTATTGAAAATATATCTAATTCTTTCACATTCTAGCCAAAATTAGAAATATCTTCTCACTTAGAAATTTCTTAGATAATTAACCATTTGTGATTACTAAGAATTTTATCATAGAAATTTTTTTATTTTTTTAATTTTATTTCTAAATTTTCTATCATTTGGGTCTATTTAGAAATTTTTTTTAATTTCTAAATTTTCTATCATTTAAGTCTATTTAAAATTTTTTTTAATCTTTGAAAAGAAAATAATATGATAATTTTTTTTAAAGTTTCATTTAAATTCTTTCACAATTTGGAACAAATTTTAAAAAATTTTTCACTTAGAGATTCTTAGGAAATTTACCATTTGAAATTTTTAAGATTCTCATCCTTTTCAACCAAAATTTTTAATTTATATTGTTAATATTTTTATTTGAAAAAAATATAATTACTTTTATTGAAATATCATCTAATTATTCTACAATTTGGGATAAATTTAAAAAAATTTCTCACTTAAAGATTTTTTAAAAATTTACCATTTGAAATTTTAAAAATCTCATCATTGGATAATTAGTATTTAATTCAAAAATTTTATTAAATTTTGTGGTTTTTTATTTTTATTTTTTAGATTGAAAATAAATATTAATTATTATTATTGAAACTTTATCTAAATTATTCCACCATTTGAGATAGATCTAGAAAAATTTTTTACCTAGGAATTTTATAGAAATTAAGCTTTTGTAACTTTTAAAAATTTCATCATTGGAAATTAGTATTTATTTAAAAAAATTATTTTTTTTATATTTTTTCAATTTTTCTTACAATTTAATCATGCAAAAATACTTAAAAACAAATAAAATAGCTAAATGAATAAATAAATAAAAATACCAAAAATAAGAATGGCTCAGTTCGACTCAGTTTGCAAGGAGGAAGTGGCTAGGACAGCTTAGCTTTACGACTCAGTTCAGCTCGAGCCAAGGATAGAGACACAGGTTGAAGATGGGTTGGTGCTACGAGTTGGGTCTTCAAGCAGTAAAGCGTGCGAATCTTGAAATTACCGAAGGCAAAATCAGCATCATTTTGGGATGGTATAAAAGACTGATTTTTTCTTTTTTTTTTTTAGATTTCCCTTATTATTCTCTCCCTCATCTTCTTTTTTTTCTCCCTCTCTCTAGAACTTAAGAACACTAGTTGAAGCCTTCATCGAATTTTGGAAACCTTCACCTGAAAGTTGCCAAAATCTGTAAAACTCACTAGAATATCATTGGAATCTGGATTTCATCATCGAAAACTTCAAACTTCGCTAGAATCTTCACTAAAAACTGAAAAATTTTGCCAAAATCTAAAAATTTTCTAGATTTTTTCGAAAATAAATTTAACACTAGATCTTTCTCTCTCAATCCAAAATCAAATTGAAAACCCAAATGTATTTTTTCTACCAAAAATGAAACCTTATACTGCTTTCTCCTGTATATTTTTCTTTGATCTCTCCTCTGTGTCTTATGTTGCTTCATGTGGATTTATATTTATAGGGTTTAAAGTCTGAGAACCCTAAACTGGAAAAGAATTTTGATTTTTTTTGAATTTCAACTTTTAAGTTCAACTTAAACTCAAACAAATAGTTTCATATAAACTTAACCTTTTTCATTTTTTTATTATTTTTTATAAAAAAAAATCACAACCTTAGACAGATTAAGAAATTTATAGTTACCTCTCTTTGCGTATTTTTTGTTAAACAAGAATTGTACAAAAACGTAGATGACCCAAACAGGAATCAACTCGACATATTTTTTTCTCTCTCTTTTTTAAAGCATATTTAGACTTCTTGAATAACATAAAAACTCCTCTAAACAAAGGTTTAAC